CAGCCCCTTATGTATGACTGTGTTAAATTCACACTGAAACCTGCCTATAAATTTTTCCGTAAATATTACTTACTTCTAGTTATGTCTTCTATTGACAAGCTATATTATATTTGCAACCAAGAATCCAGTAATAAGGTCCTCTAAAACCTTCATCTATGTCTAGCAGAGATGGATAAGACTGCCCTCTAACTCTGTAGTGAGAAGGATGGTAAACAGGTTACTTTATTTATAATGAAGCTTCATTATCTTGAAGTATGATAAATCCTCAGACTATAAAACATCTTCAAATTATCATACATATAGTTTAAAAGTTTGAAAATTTTGTTTAAAAATTTTAAAACTCTAAAAAGACAAAAGAAATGCTTCCCTTATATCATTTCCTATTACATCAGAAATATACTTCTTCCAGTTAATTTGTCTCTATAATTAAAAGCAAAGAGCTTAGACAATTTTACTGTCCAACTATAAAATTATATTCTGAAATTAATAAAGGACCAAAAATAGTAACATATGCAAAAGTTGAAAGTGGTTAAAATGATATGTGATAACCTATTAAAAGTGATATGGTTTTGGCTTCAGAACTTTATTTTAAAGGTTGTACAAGGCCAGATTATGAGGCTATTTGCAAACCTGGGAAATCTACTAGATGCATGAGATAAAAGAACAATGAAAAGACAAAAGTGAAATACATGTTTCATTCTGTACAACCGTTCAGTAGTAATGTAACCATTTAGTTAACCACTGGTTAATCAGTTAATCACACAAAAGTAACCATTCAGAATTATCTCTCTACATGAGTTACATTAATATGATTTCTGGACCTTCTGGTAATTTAAAATACTTGTATTTATTAGAAAGTAAGTTCTTAATTTAAGATTACATTAATTAAAACTATAGAATCTTAGGCACTTAACTGAAATAAAGCCTGGGTTACTTTAAAAGAATTATAAATAGTGTATAAGAAAAAAAATACTATATAAGAGTAGTTTTATAAAAATATCACCAAAGGCTGATATATTATGCCTGAAAATTCTTCCTTTTGTGTGAGCTTTTAGTATGTCTGATTCTTTTAACCTCAATCTATCTGTATGGCATGTAGTTGTGTGATAATGGGCAGCTTGTTGGTAAACACAAATCTCCTGAGACATCTTCTAAGTGATGTGTTAACATGCTAAAATCATTAAAAAAAAACTTCCAAAATTATGATATACATATCCTTTTCAACACAAAAACACATGTCATTATCATTGATGGCATATAGCTCCTTCAGATCCTTTTCCCTTTCACAAAAGAATTCAATTACAAACAACACTACCCTACTAGTGATTAAATATAAAAATAACTTCTCCCAACTTTTCCTAATGTGATCAATCCTCTGTAAACTCTAGGAAATGTATACCATCAACTTCCATGACAAAGAGTCCCAATGCCTAAGAGACTTAACACTCATATGTCAGTCATGGCTGCAGGGCCAGGAAAATGACCATCATGATGGACTCCTGCATTCTTCACATTGTGCTCATGGACAAAGTCAGTGTAGTTTCTATGTGCAGGCTGGGGTGGGGACAAGGCCCTTGTGTTCCACTGGTTTCCACCACGTTGACGGCAGTCACTGGCAGCAGAGAGCCTGGATGGTTGGGGAGTGGGAGGGGAGCACAGTTAGTCAATAGGAATAGGAGAAAATGAATGTGTATGAGGTAATAAAAGAGAAAGGCAATGGGACCAGCATGCACCAGTGCTACAAGCAGTTATCAACATCTACTCCATGCGATGATAACATTCAAGATAAACAAAGAGGGGAAAACCTACAAAGTTACATGTAATGGAAAATGTCAATGTGGAAATATGTATAAGAAATCAGTCAGTTAAGTGAATTAAATAAAGAGGAAATTTCACAGATAGCAAGACACTGTATCTGTCCCTGATGTCACTATCAAAATTAAAAGCAGAAATGTCATTTAAGGTTCTAATGAGAAGAAAAAATATTTATAATCTACTTAATTCAAGTGTTTTGAAAGGACAATTCTACATAAGGACAAAGCCGTATACAGAAAAGGGCGATTGTGAAAAGTTATTTCACAAATCAAGTGATTTCAGAAAACTGAAATCCAAGAAGCAAAATTCAGAAATAGTATTATAAAAATCTACCCTCACAGAGGCCATGTAATTTTACATCAATGTGTCCAATTAAGGAGACAATCACTGTTTCTTCTATAATCAAAGTTTATAGGACCTCAGAATGAAATTCAACAGGTACAGATAATGTGATAACATTGTAAGCCCCCTCCAGGAAATAGTTAGATAAGCATAAGCGATATAAATAAGCCTATGAAAGTAGGAGAGTGAAACATGCACACAAGCAGCTCCTGGTTAGAGATGATCAGAGTCCTCCAGTAGAAAGAAAACATGTGCCAAGGTTTTGTGACATGGCAAAAAGGGCAGCACATATTTAAGATAACTACAAAGGGAAAAATAAAATCATCCTAATTATAAAAAAAAAGAAAATGCCTCAGAATAAGATTTTTAAATGAGAGTATTTTTCAAACTCAACCAAAACATGAATCTTCACCTTTTTTCCTTAAGGAAACTAAAAACAAATTAGCTAACAGGATTTTTCAGAACAAACTTGGAAACCTTTTTTTTACAATAAAATCATCTTTCCTTCAACTGAAATATAAGTTGTTCATCCGCTCTAACCCATAAAATTCACAATCCTTAACATAGGGTCTATGAAAATTTAGGAAATTAAATTAGGTTTATGTTCTCCCCTACATATGCAAGATTTTCCAAATATTATTCAGCTTTGTTTATAAATAATTCGTGGATTTAAAATACATAAATTATTTCTCAAAAGACAGTTTCAATATTAGATAATTCTACGTTATTAACATATCAAACCATTCACTGAAATAATGATGTCATTCAGAAGATACCAGCAAGAAAAAGTTAAACAACTGGACAGGGAGTAGGTATAGATTAAATTGGCTAAAAGTTATCTGCCAGAAATAGACTAGTCCGTTATTCTGGCCAACTGTTCAAACCTAGGGAGTATTTCTAAATTTTATTAACTTATCACATTTCCAAATTTTATTAACTTATCACTTTCTAAAGGAGGACTGTTTTATATTTATGTAAAAGTATTAGTAAGAATCAAAGCATGCAGCAACAAAGAATGAAATGTAGAATACATTTTAAATTAAGGCTGGGGAATCCATTAGCTCCAAGCCAGGTCAGTTCCATATTCAGTTCCATGCCACTGTTAACATACACTGAGGCTCACTAGGTTTTGAGGATCATCATTTGACTCCATTTCAGCAAAGGAGGTCTCAGCACAAGTACACAAAGGAAGGACATACAGCTCCAAATTTTTCATTTTTCTTGATATTCAATAATCTCTGATACAATATTCTCTTTTCAAAGGCTGCATCAAAGGTACTGAGTAATGACTAACAAATCAAGTTAAACAGAATTAAATATGTATTAATTAAAACTGGAGGGTGGGAGGGTATAGTGCAGTGGTAGAGTGCGTGCTTGTTAGGCTGCACGAGGTCCTAGGTTCAATCCTCAGTACCTCCATTAAAAATTAATAAATCAAAATAAAGTAACCTAATTACCCCTACCAAAAATTTTAAAATAAAACAGGAAAACTAAAGATTTAGTGTCATAATACAGATGCAAACACACTAGACTCTCATTTTATACTAATATAAAAGGTAAGCATGTATTAAATGAGTTCTTTTATAGTTCAAGTCTCAGTACTGTTTCCTTGCCAACATCAAAGAGATAAAATATAGCTGCTAACGGAGCTGTGTTTTCAGTAAAAAACTGAAGAAACTTTTTAATGGCTTAAAAAAATAGACCAACATTTGACATTTAGAAGTCTTTATACTTGAAGTATGTGCCCACATGCACACACAAAGCACTCCCGCACCACACTCTCAAGCAGAAAGGGGAAAAAAGGATTTTCCTTAAGGAAAACACGGGCAGGGGTGTGGGAGGGAGGAAGGAAATCCCCTTAATCTTGGAAAATAATCAAGTTATTTGGAACTGAAGTAAAAATATGCCCAACCATCAAAAGCAAAGCACCTTGCAGTTAGTTCCAGCCATAATAAACAGTGAAAAACAATTACATAGCAAAGACTGAAAATAATCACCAACCACTGTTGACCCACCACCATGAAGGAAGAACTGGTTGCACAGAAAGCTGACCAAAACCTTGAGATCACCACAGAAACTCATTAGATTTCAGGTACTACACAAACTAAGAGCAAGAGAAAAAGAGAAAAATCCTATAAATTATTAAAGTTCATTTCATAAACAGACACCAAACTTGAACAGATGATGCAACCAACATGGCATTCAGTCAAATAATTCCCAAGGAGCCTCCCATGCCACATACATTTATTTGGGGAAGGATGAACCCTATTGATTAATCCCAATAAGCCACAAAGTATCCATATTTATGTACTTACTATTAATCTAAAAGAAAAAAAAAAGACTCTGGGAATCTAAACAAATGAAGTATCTTCCCTGTCATCCGATTCCCCCCACATGGAGTATTTCATGCTTTGTTTATATTGAACTATATTACGTTTCCTTTTTGGCTTTATCTTCAGTTCTTAATGAAGAAACACATCCAAAGCAGCAGCAGCATGTTGTGTGGAATAACGTCTAACAAATATATTATCCTTATGGATCTGGGAAAAGGTCTATAGCCTGGCACTGAAGGCTTTTTCAACACAGAAGCACCCACTCAGCTCATGCTAACCAAAGTAAGGAGAGAAATGATGTTCTTCATGTAGACAGCTGCACTCTCTTCTCCATCTATACCCCTTATTTTTCCCATCCCCATACGACTGCTCAGTAATATGCTGCTTTTCAGCTTACAAATATGAATAATTTGCTTTCAATAATATTTAAAGTACTCTAAGATTATGGCTGGGGATTCAGAATACTATCAGGCAAGCAGTATTTTATTTTGGTTTAACGAGTTAACAAACCATTTCTTGTCATGCTGGTCTGCTCCAGGACTCCTTGGAAGATTCTCGATCTCCACTAGCACAGGACCAGAGGGAACAGAAGGAATCACAGGCAGAGTGGATCTCACACCCCAAGCCTTTGGACACAAATTATAAAAATCATCTATTTTGCCTAGATAAAAAGATCTCTTCACCAATAAATAGAACATTAACATGGAAACTATCTATACAGTGAACCGATATAATAGTAAACATAGTAATAAACACTTGAATGATCTAGTCAACCTTAGAGGTAGATAATAATTTAACTGTACATTAGTATTTTGTTCATTTTACAGAAATTACAGAGACAGAAATTGTTTTATAGAATACCTGTTCTATTACAATGTCTTAGGAAATAAAATAACAGGTCTCACATTACTGAGCCATCTTACAGATAAGAAAAAGAAAATGCACAAAATTTTCCCAAGGTTATGCCACTGTGAAAATTCAATTAATAATACTACAGTTTGTCATAATTAACAACAGTGTTCCAGTGCTTCAGAAGCCTTAATTGTCTTACCTGTTGGGATCCATTACTCTGAGTTGAAACATTATTGTGCACACTGTAATGAGGAAAAAAAATTACCCTTGGCACATAAAACTAAGAATGTAAGATGTCCAGAAAACATTTGCTTTTATAAAAGCAAACATACCTACAGGCAAACACTTGCTTTTCTGCTCATTTGACATTTCCATATACCTCTATTTCACTTGTGCTTTAGATATACACTTCACTACTAATTTTATTTATTCGCTGGACAATGTCTGTCAAAGACGACAAAATAAAGACAGCAGCACAAATGATTCATTAAATACAAGGCATCAAGCACAAATATCCACATAAACTTACCTGTCACTTCTTTTGTATATTCCTACCCACTCAAGATTTTCTGGTGTCAGCAATAGCTCAGCATTTTATAACTTGAAAGGCTTTAGTATAAACTCAAAGTCAGAAACTTCTCTGTATACCCTTCTCCTCCAAATGAGGTATACACGTTTTTAAATTTTCAGTTTAGGCTGCACTCATTCCCCTCCTACCTTCCCCAACAAAAAAAAAAGCACTTTAAAAAAATCAACGTATAATACAAAATAAACAGAAACCTCAGAACAGCTAAAAAAAAGAACAAATATTCAATGAGATAAGAACTCAAAGATGAGATACTACCACAAAAGAGTAAGTTAAAAAAAAATAGTTTACTGACTTCAGACCTTCTATGCTTATGAGCATAGCTAGTATCCTAAGGTAAAGAATTTAACTAAGAACTGAAAATACATTCAATGTTATAAAAAAAAATTCTCTCAAAGTGAGAAAATAATCTACGGATTTAAGGAGAACACTGTTCCAGGGAAATGAGATACAGAATTAAATGCATTCAATTTTCATTGTTTTATTACTGACCTTCAAGGATAAGTAAAGAATACTTCAGGTACCCTAAGGAGACTTAAAAGCAAAGCACTGCCAGCATCAGGTTAGCACAGACTTCTCCATAGGAATACTCAAAGAACATTACACCTGCCAAGATGCCATTCTAGTAGAACAACAACAACAACAACAACAACAACAACAACAAAAACGGGCAAAGCTTCTCAAAACACAAAACAAACTCTGAATACAGGATACAGGAGCCTTTCCTAGAGAAATGAGAACAAAACAAGTGATGTTGATCTGATAATGAAAGACAACCAATAAGAACGAACTCAGGAATGAAGAGGCCTTGCTAAAAAATTGGGTGATGAGGAGTAGACCCAGTTTATACCCTGTTTCTTATTAACTACATCTCTGTTACAAGTTAAGTCACCAGAACCGGCACTGCCATTGCCTGGGTTCAAATCCAAACTGTGCCCCCAGCTCTGCTCTCTGAACCTCAGTTTCCTTATTTGCATGGGACTGTTAGGAGGATTTTATAAATGTTAGCAAAGCACAAAGGACAGTGACAAATACAACTAATCAACAAAAAAAAATCTTAAAAAAATGTGTAGTGTACATCTGTTGCCAAAGCCAGTGTAAAGAATGTACCTGTCAGGCACAATTTCTTTGTACTGACCATGATGTTCCTAGAATATACTATGCTACATTAAATAACTCATAGTTCCCAACATTAATGAAATCTCATCCAACCGTCTGGGACGGAAATTAGACTCACTACTTTATGGTCCCCTGGGTTACTCTCAGAAGCTTTTCCTTTAACTGGGAGTGATTCCAGTAGGTGATAAGTAAAAGATGAATATAACATGAGAAAAAAGTGCTTATACTAAGTGATGTTAACTGGATTCCAGTTCCCTGCTTTGAAACAATTTGAAATATTGAAAGCACTACTTTGTTATAGTTATACATTTTCTTTCACCTCCACTAATATGAAAAGAGCAAATGCTTCTCATTACTGACCCAATCTAAGCTTCCCTTTCAAAGGACTACCTGCAATAACTGACTAATTTTGCTCTTATACCCTCTCTATTCATCTTTCCTCCACCATTTCTTCTTTTCCTCTCTTCTGTCTTCAAGACTCTATCTGTTAAGCCTGTGCAAAAAGTACTAATAAATGAACTGTGAACCAGCCTTTCAAATGTCACCTCTTAAGATACTCTATATTAGTCAAGACTCACAAGGGAGTAGTTAGAAAGAAAGAAAATAGTACAAGGAAAACTAACATCAGCCAATTTAAAAACCTGTTATTCAAGTAAGCACAGTATAAGGTCAAGAAGCTTTTTAGGACAAAGAGTTGTGCTTTTTCAAACAGTACTGTTTTCCATGGTTCACTGGAGTAAAACTGACCACGCAAACAAAACTGTAAGGACAAGAATGAAAGGGCATTCATGCCAGTCCAAGCTCAGGATCTCTCAAGCACTGTTACCAGTAGTGCTCAATAGCCTGCAGGAAGGCTGGGTTGCATTCCTAAAAATTTATCCTAATTAAAAAATAATAAAGTATCACTGCTTAAATATCCCATTTTTGCTGCATTTTCCATAGCCAAAAACATCACTTGAGAAGATACAGTAACATTTAGTTATTTACATTAAATTAATCTTAATTCTAGGAAAGAAACTATATAATCATACTTTTTGGTCAGAAATGTGTATTTCAGAACATTTTAAAGAAGGACAAACTTCCGTAAATTAAAGCCTTAATTTTTCAACTACATATCATTGCTTGAATGCTTTGTTTACATTTCTGCTAATTTTACCAGGTAATCTTCTTCACTTAAAGCTCTAATATTCTGTCCCAGCCTCCTTTTCAGGAAAGCAGGACATGATCCATTAAACAAATAAGCAAACAAAACCGAATAAAATACTTTAAATATAAAGAACACCTCTAACATTTCTCCATTTTTCTTAAAAGCATAGCTTAAAAATAACTCTAAGGAAAATTAAAATGTATAGCTCAGAAAAGGCAGAAAATTTTGTTTTTTACCTAATTAAAAATTCACAATGGAAAGACTCCCTCAGACTTCCTCCCTACTCTATCCATTTATTTATCTTTAACAGCTTACTGACAGTTACAGGGAATTCAGGGGAATCCTTACTCAAAAAGCAGAGTGCTTTTGTGATGAATCACTTATCGCAGCCTGGCTTTAATGGTTTCCTAAGTTGGGAAAAAAAAAAAACTGAATGGGATATCTCAAGGTAAGGCTGACCATACTCAGTACCCCAAAACAAACAACTTCTCCTTTTGATGAGCTATAGTTATACATCCACCACATAGAAGTATAAACAAATTAAAAAAAAAATAGATTTGTGGGTATGTCCTGAATCTAACAGTTTAACAGGCATTCCCGGAGACTTTGATACATACCAGTGGCTGAGAAGCGTTATATGAAACTATACATTGTAATATATACACTATTAAAATTAACTGATTCTAGAATGGTGGTTTGAGGACAATAGCAGACCCTCTCCCCAGCAAAACAAATATTTAGCTGGTCAAATTATTTTTTAAAAAATCATTAAAAGCCATACATCAAGTGGAGAAACATTTATTCAAGCAAATCTACTATATCTTAGAGATGAGGCTGACATTTGAGGCACAATTTACTCCCCTGCCCCATTCTCCCAAGTTCAGTGTGGTGGAAGGTGTACTCCAGGTGAGTGTGGCCAAGAAGACAGAACTCTCTTCTAGCAAGCCAGAGTTTAAATCAGCTATTTCCAATATGCTCCAGAACTAAAGAAACCAAATGTAAAGAAATAAAGTAAAGTATGCGAACACCATGTCCACAAGTAAAGAATATCAATAAACACAGAAATTACTGGAAAAAAATAAAGGAAAGAAAGAAATTCTGGAGTTGAAATGTACCATAACTAAAATGAAAACTTCACTAGAGGAACAGAAAAGCAGATTTTAGCAGGCAAAAGAATCAGTGGTTTGAAGATAGGTCAAATGAGATTATCTAGTCTGAGGAACAAAGAGAAAAAGGATGAGGAAAAATGAACACAGACTCGGAGACCTGTGGGTACCATCAAGTATAGCAACATATGTGTAATGGGAGTCCCAGAAGGAGAGGGAGAGAGAGGAGCAGCAAAAACAAAACAAAACAAAACAAAACAAAAAAACCCCTGAAAAATAATGAGTGAAAAATTCCCAAATATGATGAAAAAATGAACCATACTAAAGCAACCAGAAGAGAACTGGACTCACAACACTTACATCAGACCAAATAGACTTTAAAACAAAAAAAAAAGTTTTTTTTATAATAAAAGAATAATTATAAACATATACATGCTTCACAAAAAGCCCAAAATACATGAAGCACAAAGAACTGAAGGGAGAAACAGACAACTGAACAACAATAGCTGGAGCCTTTAAGACTCCATACTTAATAATAAATAGAACAGGCCAAGATCAGTGATGAAACAGAAGTGAACAACAGTATAAACCAAGCAGACCTAACAGACATCTATAGCACATTACACTAAGCAGGAGGATATACATTCAAGTGCACACAGAACATTTTCCAAGACAAATCACATGCTAGGCCATAATACAGGTCTCAATAAATGTGAAAGGATCAAAGTCATGCGAAGTATGTTCTCCAATCACCATGGAATAAAATTACAAAAAAAAAAAAAAAAGAGAGAGAGAGAGAGAAAGGGGAAAATTTAAGATACAAACATGTAGAAAATAAGCAACACACTCCCAAGTAGCCAAAGGGTGAAAGAAGAAATTCTAAGAGCAACCAGAAAGTAATTTGGGATGAATAAAAGTGAAAGTACAAGATAAAACTTATAAAATGTGATTAAAGCAGTGCTTAGTTAGAGAGACATTTATAAGGTATAAATGTAATATTTAAAAAGAAATAAATGTTATAGTAAAAAAGACTAAAGATCTCAAATCCCAATAATCTAATCTTCCACCTAAAAGACACCAGAAAAAGAAGAGAAAACTAAACCTAAAGCAAACAGAAGGAATGAAATAACATACCAGAGTGAAAATTAATGAAATAAGAAATAGAGGAACAGAGAAAACTGATGAAACCAAAAGCCGGTTCTGTGAAAAGGTCAACAAAACTGACAAACCTTTATCCAGACTGACCGAGGGAAAAAGAAACTCGAATTACTAAAATCAGAAATGAATGAGGGACATCACCACAAAGCTTACAGAAATAAAAATGAAAAAAGAATAATATGAACAACTGTGTACCACAGATTAGATAACTCAGATAAATGAACAAATTCTAGAAAGACACAAACTCCCAAACTGCCTCAAGATGAAAAATGAACTATGAATAGTCTAATTACAAGAAACTAAACTGGAAACTTACAAACTTCACATAAAGAATGATGGCAAGATGACTAAATAAATGGTAGAATTCACCATTAAAGTCTTCTTGCCATCTTTCTTTGTGTGAAGTTTTCTTTACAAACTCTTCTCAAAAAATAGAAGGAAACATTTTCCAACTCATTCTGTGAAGCCAATAATACCCTGATATCAAAACCAGATGGAGACATTACAAGAAAACCACAGACCATATCTTTGCTGAATACAGACACTCAAATCTACAAAACTAGTGAACCAAATCCAGCAATGTATAATATAAAGAAAGATTATACACCATGACCAAGCAGGATTTATCCCAGGAATAAAATGAATTGCTTACCTACAAAACAATCTTTGTTCTTTGACCTACTTGTGTGCAAGAACCATAATTTATTCATCTTTATATCCTCATTCACATGTCAATAACAAATGTATGTCATTCTCATTAGGAATAGCACATCTAGCCAACTCTACTCTTTTTCTTTAAAACTGCTTTAGTTTTCTTTGTGTCAGTTTTATCTGGCACTATGTGTTTATCGGTTCCCTGCTAATATCCACAATGCTCAGGGACAAGTTAATAAATCTTTGACAGATCTTCAACAAATATCTGTTTAATGACAGGAACTACATAAATGTTAAAACATTCTATTATTAATTCCTAAGTTGTAAGACATTACCCACCTGAGTTCTTCAGGTTTTGCTGTACTTGCTGACAAAAAAAAAAAAAAAGAAATCCCATTAGTTTGCTCCTACATGGTAAACTCCTTTACTATTCACAAGTAAATCTTGATTAATTGCTTTGTAAGCTGTTTCCCAACTACAGATTTAAAAATCTTCATTTCACAAGGGTTCTAGCGTTCACATCATTAAAGTGAATAATGACAATTATTTCCATTTTTAAATAAAGCAATAAAATAAGTATACACTTTTTTTTGGAAACAGAATCACCTGCAAGCTTCTAAAGTGAGCTCAGTGACAATGAAACATCATCAGCGGAGTCTAAGAGGTAACTTAGGGTTTTAAACAAATTGAAGTGGTTTCACTTATAGCTATATATTATTAATTTACAGGCACATCAAAAATTATGGCTATAAATCAGTTTCTCTAAAAACTGATACTGCCAAACATCAGGTCACAGCAGTCGTTCTTGGGTAACTGGTGATGACTCTGACATTGGACAAACTTAAAATTCAATCTGTATTTTAATGTAAACTCAGATTTGTGAGACCAAACACTAGTTTTAGTTTATTCATCAAAGTAAACCATTCTTTCTATTACACAAGTAACTTGAACAGCACGTAACAGTTATGAATTTGGGAATGTCTATGTATGATGTACACTGATGATTAAATTTAAAAATTATACTTAACAGAATCTTTAATATTATTATAATACAAAATAATGTTTACTTAAAATGTATTCATCATATACCAATGTGTTTTTTTTTTTAAAAAACCTAAGGGGATTTAAGAGACTATTGTGAATGAGACCTGGAAGTCAAAAAGAGAGGGAAAATACTGTTCTAGAGAAGAATTAAAAAACAGTAAAAACAAAAACTGAATACAAACTCAGCACAGTGTCTGACTTACAATTAGTATAAAGTTTAATCTCAGCAACAGTATAAGCAGTTTTTCCTCCTGTGTTTTATTAAATTGATTATGCTAGAACCCAATGCAGTAATTAAGAGCACTTTAGTTGACTGGAATAGACTTAAGACTGAGATAACCTCCTCTCAAGGAAACAATACCAGCACAGGATGAGCTGTCAAGAACAGTCCTTCGAAACAGGGCTGCGTTTCACCTTTCATTTGTAGAGTTCGTCGAGAGTATCGTTTGCTGGGCCTTCTCTCAAAGGACGCTGATCGTCTTGCTTTGTTGGTTTTTGTGGTCTGATACTCAGTTTTCCCACTAAAATACATGAGGCATATTACTGAGAGTAAGAGAACACGAAGCCTGCAGTAATCAGATACACATAAATGAGAAAAACTCTGCACTGAGGTTCTCCCTAAAAGAACCATTCTGAACTTGGAAAACAGTGGCAAACCACTTCATCTCTCTATGCCTCAGCTATACAATTGTAAAATGAGGAGTTGGGGTAATTTTCTGGCCTCTATGAAATAATGAAAGAAGTCGCAAGCAGCTATAAACATTAACCTGTATCTAAATCGTGATCCTAATCGAATAAATCCCGATCGGTGAGAATTCTTTTGGACAGGGGCTCGGAGGCGGAAGAAGGCATGGTGCTCCACAGCACATTTCCATAAATGTTTGCATGCTTTTGGATGATCCAGTCTAAAGACAAATGTATGTTCTTGCTCTTTGCCCTGAAGAAGAAATGGATGTTAAGAGAGGTAATTAGTAACTCAAACAGTCCTGTCCCCTGCTACACAGCTACAAATACAACCACAGCAATACCAAGAATCAAATAATAAAGCATCTAGTTTGTTTCCTGAAACTCCAACATTATTTATAGCTATCTCCAAAAAAAGGCAAATTAAAATCAAGCTGTCCATTTTCTCAGCCAATATAAAATTATTCCTAAGTGTTCTACTTTCACTGATATCATTTCTCAGATACAAAAAATGAGCCTTTATCTGCCATATTTATCAATAAATATTTAATTATAATTTAAAGGATCATATAAGGTCTCACTATATATATGTAACAGCCTTAAAAATGGCCACATTCTTTGTCATCTAATTATGCTACTTAATTACTAGTTAAATACTTGCAGGAAGCTAATTATACTAGTTAACATTCACAGACACTTTTTTAAGAATTTCACAAGAATTGATTTAATGAGTAGACACTATCATTATCCCCATTTCATAGATTAAAAAACCTGAGGCTCATGAAATTAAGCCCAATGTCACAAAGCTAGTAAGAGAGGAGACCAGAATTTAAACCTAACCATTCATTCTCCAGAGCTATATTTGTTAACAACTAAGCTATACTGTGTCTCTAGGGAAAAAGATTTTCTAAACACCAAAATTTATACCCAAAGATTTTCTTCACAGTCTCATTTATAATAGTAAAAATTGGTACAAAACCCTGAATGTCCAAAACAAGACAATCAAGTAAATAATGATCTATTTAAAAACTATAGAGATAAATGAATAAAAGATGAACTACTGCATTACTACTTATTCATATTACAGAATATTATCTATATGTCAAAATGAATGAACTAGATCTACATCTGTTTAGGTAAAATAAGCAAGCTGCAGAAAAAGCCCTCAGACATATTTTATATATATTATATATAATATACATACATATGTAAATTTTTAAACATTCTACCATGTGTCATGATATGGTTATATTTACAAAACACTAGAAAATATGAGAATGATATCCTCCAAGAATGAGGAAGAAAGGGACAAGCTGGGGCTTAGACCTTAGCTGTATCAAATACACTCTTATTAATTTATGTATTTCTAGAAGAGATCTGAAGCAAGAATGCAAAAAAATGCTACATCGAGATGAGTGAAATGGATATGTTTTATAATTTGTGGTACTTTCCAGTATATTTTGAATATATTTTGTAATTTAAATGACTTTATCATTTAAAAATACTTCATATCTATATGTAGTTTCTTAATGTCCTTAATACAGGCAAAGATCCCTACATTTTAAGACACAAAATTTACTGGTCACAAATGAAATATTGTATAATTTTTCTATTAAAATTGAAACCCTCTGTTTTTAAAATTGAAACCTCCTATTTAAATTATTCCATTAAAATTGAAACCCTCTATTTATCCAAAGGATACAATTAAAAGGAGTCAAAAGGTAAACCAGGGAGCACAAGGTAGTAGCAACACATGTATCTGACAAAGAACTGATATCCAAAATATATAGAGAACTTCTCCTATGAGGAAAAAACCACATGACCTAACAGAAAAATGAACAACAGATCTTAACAAGTTCTTCATAAAAAAGAATATTCAAACATCTGATAAATGTATACATAAGTGCAAAACTGAACTAGTCAACAGAGGAATGCAAACTAAAACCCCCAAAAGATTCCACTATCAAAACAGCTAAAATAAAAAAGAGAATACCAAACACAAGCAGAACAGAACTCTCACACACTGCGGGTGGGAGAGCAAACTTGTATAAACACTTTGGAAAATGGTTTCGCAGTATCCACAAAAGCCAAACACATGCATATCCCAGTACTCATGGCAGCACTCTTCTTAACAGCCGAAAACTAAAAATAACTCAGATGTCTATCAACAGCAGGATGGATAAATAACCAGTCTATTCATAATACTGAATACTATATGATACTAAGAATGGGCCAACTACAACTACTTGCTACAACAGGGCAGAAAGCTCACAAATAAAATGATAAAATAAAGAAGCAAAACACAAAGAGAATATTCAGTCAAGTTTCATTATATAAAGTTCAAAATATAGGCAAAAACTAAACTATGGTGTTAAAGTCAGGAGAGAGGTTACCCATGGGAAACTGTACTTGGTGGGGAGCACAAGAGAAATTCCATAATTCTGGTAGTATCCTATTTCCTCGGCCCAGGGCTGATCATATCAGTGTATGAGAAAATTCAACAAGTTGTGCATTATTTTCACACTTATCTGAATGTAAGTTATACTTCAATGATATTTAGCAACAACTACACATAGAAAAAGTCATGGGAAAGTGTATAACCTCAAAAAGGGGAAAAGCTTTCTGACACAAAACCCAGAAGCCATAAAAGACTGATAAATTTCCCTATTTAAAATTTCTTAAAGTGCATGGCAAAACCACAGTAAGCAATGTTAAAAGACAAACAATTACATAAAATATGTATAACATCCATGACAAAAGATAAAACTTGTAAGAAAAAAACCAATAATCCTGAAGAAAAATGGTCAAAGGATAGGAGCAGAAAGTCTGGAGAAAAGGAAATCAAGTAACTCAAACGTATGAAAAGATATGCAATGTCACTCATAATAACAAATAAAAATTAAACCTACAATGAAATTCCACTTTTCACCTTTCAGGTGAAAATGTGATTAATTTCCTCTAAGGAAACAGCCCTGTACACTGAAAATTATGCAACTCGATAGGCTCTCTCTATATTCAGGACAAGTGAACATAACCATTTGACTTCGCAAATCCATCTCTAGGAAATTATCGCACAGATACTTGCCAATTACAAATTAATTATATATAGTGAATAAATGTCAATTCTTTGAGAATTGATCAAATAAATTCAGGTACACCATAAATACTATGCAATTTAGTTTGCTTTTATAAGAATGAAGAACATTAAGAACCAATATAGTAAACATTCCAAGTTACAATGTGAAGTTTAAAAAAGGATAAGAGAACAGTGTATAAGCATGGAGTCCTGTGTATAAAAAAGAACTGATATACACATTTGCCTGTATAAGTCTGTAAAATACCCTTCAAAAAGATAACCAAGAAGCGAATACTATATTAAATCAAATCTAAAATGTCATCAACTGTAAGATGCACAATTATTTTATGGCCCAGAAAGAAAAGTATCATCAATTAAATTATGACCATATTTCCTTATCACATAAAATTATATTTTATTCTTCTTGAATGATTCTTTTAGATTTAGATACAAGTAACATTTAATCACATCTGTGCTTACATAAAAAGGAAAATACTTGTAAAATAGATCGTTTTTAGATGTGAAATCTGCCTCTTCTGAATCATTTTCAACTCATTTGTTGACAGTATAATGATCATCTGTGCCATGAACAGATTTCTTTTTAAAATGCTCTATTATTGTCTCTGATTTTCTTCTAAGCTGTGTGACAGAGCAATCCTTTGCATGGAACAGTAATAAAACTTGCAACTTTCAAAAAACTTACAGCTGTTTCCTCTAATTTTCAGAATCTTCTTTTAGGTTCTGTCAAGTAGCCCTACTCACACCTCATTGTGCATACAAATCTTTTTAACATGTGCCTACTTGCTTTTATGTATATCCATGTACATTTCAAATGTATTACTTTGCATGCAGTAAAATTACTTTGTTTTTACTTACTCACAATTTTGTCGGTTTTGAAAATGCACAGAATCATACAATCGCCACCAAAATCAGGACACAGAATAGTTCTCTAATTCCCCCAAATTCTCTGTACTGTTTCTTTGCAGTCAAGGCTCCTCACTCCCCTAATCCGAAACAATTAGTGAGCTATTCTCTATTCCTACGGATTTGCCTTTCCCAGGTTGTCATACAAATGGCAGTCAATCTTTTGAGTTTGGCTTCTTCCACTAAGCATAATTCATTTGAGTTTGTTGTATGAGCATCAATCAGGAACTAAATTTAACCAAAAAAAGGGTAATCCTTAGTATAAAAGGCTTTATTAAAGAATATTATTAGGTAGCTCTTATTGATTAATCTTTTAATCAAGTACTAAAGGGACAAAGCCATTTATAAATGTAATTTTTATACACTTAAGATATATTATCAACAAAGAAACAAGAATAGTCTTTTATTTAATCTTTAATCTTAAAGGTAAAAAACTATAGTTTCAGGACTGTGTGACCTAAAGTAGGAAATTATTTAATTAAATTATTAGTTATACTATATTTCTGTCTTATGGCTCTATAAAATGAAGTGCATTTCCCCTTTCAGATACTTAAGTTACCACTTAGCACAGTTCTTGTTAAATATGTAATACAATATAATTCCTACCTGGTCATCATCTTCTACAACCACCAGAGTTAATTTGTTCTTCTTAAAATCCAACCTGGTTATCTTGGGCCTATAACAATATGAGAATAACAGCCAGATTTAAAATACATGTACTCTAAACTGAAAAAAATTTGTTGTTACTTCAAGCACATTAATCATCTAACTTCTGAATTGAAAACTGGTTAAGAGGATAAACATAACCTGTACTGTCCAGTGAAAAAGCTCCCAATCTAAAAAATAGTTCAGATAGTAGAAAAAATTTCAAAAGCAATCCCTCTGAAAAAATTTAAGCTGTTCATATGTAAGACACCAAAAATGTTAAGGAAAAAAGAAAATGAAGAAATACATATACATGTATTTCATAGGCCCCTTACTATGGTGTAAGAGATTCTCTAAGCCTAATGTTAAAGCAGCAGCACAGGAATTGGATAAAGGAAAAACTAAAGCTTTTTAAAAGGGATTAAAAAACCAAACTATTGATCTTCAACTCTATTTTCTATAGCAATTTTGGTTAAAGATATGTTCAATTAAAAAAAATTTTTTTAAACCTCACTTTATGGCCCACTTTCCAACTCCATCTCCCACCAGTACGAAAATCCTAAGCAATTTACCAAATTTAACTCCGTACTTCTATGAACTGTGAATGTCAAAACCTGATTCTCACTCTAATTTTTAAATATAACTTATCTAAAATACAATTATAAAATATAACTTGTTTACGAGAGCTGTACTAAATAAGTAAATAAATAAGTGTAATACGAGGGAAGAATGTAGCACGTAAGTGTAACAAATACATAATGCCTACTAAGTGTCACATACTCTAAGTGTTTTAAATGTATTAATTCAGCTGATTCTTGTACGGCAGTACAAAAGATACTTTATCTTTCTACCTAGCACATTCTTTGGCCACGAAGGATGTTCCATGTGCCCAGTGGACAAGCTGGAAATGTCAGAGAATTAACACTATAGGGCTGGGTAAATACACAGCCCAGCTTTCTCACCCATCAAGGGACAATTATAAAGGTGTTACACTCAGGTCTCCCAGAGAGTCTCTAGGAGGGACCCTTGGATGCAAAAATAAATGAAATACGATCTTCAACTTTTTAAGGGAAAATAATTTTCAACTTAAAGTTCCACTCTTAGTCCAATTATCAAGAAAGTTTACGAGAAGAATAAACCATTTTAAGGCATTCAAGGATTCAAATAATTTACCTCATTCACCCTTTTCTTAGGCAGTTACTTGAAGGTATAAAACAGAAAAAATAAAGCAAAGAAAGAGGAAAATATGGAAAGAAGACACAGATTCCTGAGAAAAAAGGGAAAGGAAGTCCCAAGAAAAAAGCTGTAGAGCAGCCTGGAAGAGCAAACAGTTCCAACTGGAAAAGAATCATTTCATGCAACCTTTGAAAATGTGAAAAAACTTAAAACAAAGGCAAGTCATTTAAAAAGATGTGTGGGGTGCACAAGAGCTAAAAGTACTAGAGAAAAAAAAAACTATACAGAAAGGAAATGTAATCCCAGTTTTGAGTTCAAGGATTTCACAGCTGATAAAGACAGGACCAGGAGATAGCAGTACTGCACGAGCTTTATTGATAGGTTTGCACAGGGTTGCATAAGTGGGGACATCCTTCATAGCAGGAGACCTTCCAGAGAAAGTGGCAACAGGGCCACCACCTAGGAGGGGAAAAGAGTAAGGGAACTCCCAGGAGGGAGGACAATCAGAGAGGGGGCTTATGTGTCTAGGCGATGTCACTCAGCAGCACAGGAGAAGCCTCTGAGCCACAGAGCTCTGAAGGGCAGAAGTGGTTTGGGGTCTCTTACAGCTACAGGATTTGCTTTTCTATGGCTAACAAATGTGAAGTGCAGTTTGCAGTGAGATACGCACACCAGGCAGGTTCTAAATGGCTAAAACTAAACTTGCTGGGCTCTATTTAAAGCAACTGAATGTATAAGAATTTGAGCTTGGCACTGGCAGAGTTTGAGCTGACAGTCCTGGCATGCTGTGAAGAAGTAAACAGAGGGACCAATGTACAAGAGCCATCCTCAGCCCATGTATGTAACACCAGTACACCACTAAGCTCTACACAAAGACCTACACAAATATAAACCAAGACACAATAGTATAAATGTTATTTTCTAATTTTCAGCTTTTAGAAATGACCAGACAAAACCTGAAAAACTCAATTACTGTTATGAAATCCAACTAATATTTTTGATGTAAAAGTAAATATAATTTAAAGTATGGACAATAGAAGTTGAGACACAGAAAGAGAAGCATAGCTTCAAAGTGGGGGTAAAAGTGCTAATATCTTCCTCTTACATAATAAGCAGTAGGGAGGAAAAAGACTGCAGAACAAGAAATACTAAAAACAGCGACATAACTACATGACGGGAGAGAGTGGCCATGTGAATGTTTAATACACATATAAAATACTTTTATTAAGGCATGTATTCTGACATAGCTTGAAAATAATGGAAAATACAACTAGAAGAGTTTTAAAAACTGCCTCACTGCCTTGGAGAGTAGGAACTAAAGATGAATATAAGTATGACAGGAGAGAGCTGAAATTCATTTCTAAGCCTTTCAGAACTATTTGATTTCCCATTCTATTTTATGCATTAACATCATATAAGTGCTTTAACTCATTCAAAAAACTATACAAAAATAATTATCTTTGACATTAAGTCTGCTTACCAAAAAAATAAGCCAATTTTGGTCTCTCCTTCAAAAACAAGAACTCCTGTTGGGGTTAGTCCCAAGCTATAATCATTCCCATCTCTAGCCTAATTAAGGAGAGCAAAACGTGTTAGCTTTACTTGCATGAAACAGGTTTCACATTTTCACACAATTTAATTTTATTTTCACATTGAATTATTCTAATTATATACAGGCTAATACTAATACATAAGGAGTTTTCAACAACTAAAACCACCAGAACCACATTCTCAGAAAAATTCATGCATATCTAGTTCACTGAAACACTTTGTTGAAAACAGGTAGTTCCACTGCCATGACAAAGCTTTCCAGATTCTTCCCATATTCTAGTCACTATTTAATTCACAAATTTTGAAAAAGACTGCCTTTCTGGGAAAATTTAGCTTCTTAAACCAAAAATGGCTTAAATCACTACACAAGCTATATTATACTACAGCTTATCAAAGTCCTCTCAAGAAACTTTTTCCAAATTGTCAACTTTACTTCTAAAATTATGTTCATTTTTACAGAGCCTACTCAGCTTACATGACATAAGGTGATATGAACAGGAATTTAAAGAATAAAAAGTGCTTTAAGAACTTAAAAAAAAAACTTAAAAGCACAGACATGCCTTTTTTGAGATTTTGGTTGTTTTTCTTCTTTCTTATGATAAACTTTTCTGTGATTCTCATCATTCCGTATTTAATCTCAATCATCATAACCATTTATTTACATCTTAAGCACCCAGTGCTAGCCCACGGAAACTCCATAATCTCCCTCATACTGAAAAATTCCATAGTTACCTTGAATCTTGAAGGAGTCAATTTTTTAAAAAGCATCACAACACAGTGCTCACCTTGACCATATGCATATCAACCCCATACATTTCTAGCCATTTGGCTTTATTCAGATAATTGGTTTCAGCTTGTGCTGGTGTCTGACCTCTGAAATTTAAAAATAATCATTTTTAAGATAGTAAGAAATAATAAATGAGTTTTACATCAAGCATAGAGATAGAAGAAAACAAATACGAAACCACTATTGTGATGTTAAAGTGTGATTAAACGTCAAGTACCTGTATTCCTTCCATTTCTCAAAAATAGCCAGCTCCATCTCTTCAGTCTGAATAGGCACAAACCTGAACTCAGATACAAGTTCAGGGCTATGCTCAGCAAGATCATAGTCACCAAGTTCAGCTATAAACATAATTTTAACAAAGTTATATTTTGTTAATAAGTCTACTTCCTGCTGAATCCTTCTTTAATACTCATTAGTAAAAATTGCTAAGAAGATTAGAAAGATTCTTTCTTAAACTACCAGGCATTCATAACACCCAGACCACTACCAAAAATAAATCTAGCTTAGCCTCATGATTTATTGTCTGTACACACAAATCATGTATTTGTGGTTGGTATTGTATTTTCAATTAAAAGTCTTTTTCTTAATTCAGTCATACCTTATAATGCTTAGCTTTTGAAAACCTCTTTTAGACTTCCATAGAGAAATACCTTCACATCTTATACTGAATAAACAAAAATATTTAGCAATCCTTAAAGAACAATTAGCTGGCATATTTTAAGAAGCTAATATGCACAGTACCTGACATCAAATATCACTGTAAGATATAAAACAAAGAAAAATTACTAAAAAGTACTTGGTGAAGGAAGGCAGCAGGAAAAGAAACTGGACAATGCACATTTATGTACCCATCTGTGGTTATTTCTGCACTGGGTTTGGGGAAGGAGGGAAAACAATGATTCTAATTTTCTATACTTTAGAAATATAAAATATTTCCTTTAAAATATTTCATTGTGATAAAAGAAAAAACCAGCTGTGGAGAAAAAAGAATACATGAGAACTGCCTTGAGATAATCATAAAAATGATATTAACTTACTGTTTACTGAGCAACTACTCCACACACTAGACATATTACAGATATATTGTCATTTAACTTCACAACAACTTTGGAAAATATCACACCCACTTTACTGCTAAAGAAATTGCTCTTCTGTCTGGATCACAACCAAATTTGCTACATAATGTTGTTCAGGATATATACTAAAATGGTACAGAAAAACTGAACTTGAGTGTAAGAAAAGTGATAAAAATTATTGTTAAGATAGAAAATCATAAATGAGAAGCAAGGAGATCATTTTTTGAAGATAGGAATAATACTTCAGCAGATTTATTATTAAGGACCTTAATAACCAGTAGGATTCAGTAAACTTATACATGGGACAAAAAAGATGCTTAAGACATACCATGAAGTTTGGAGGAATCATAAAAATAAGGGTGCCATGGATCAAGGAAAAAGCAGGAAAGATATTTTAGGGAAAAAATTTGATAAGTAGGATTAAGAGATAATAGAGCCACATGCATTAATCAAATAATAAGTATTTAGTGGGCATTACTCTGAGTGAGTGTTTTGTTAAATACACGAAAAGGTGTAAAAATCATTATTTTCAAGAAGCATATACTTCGGCTGTCATGAAACTTACACAATGAGGCACAGACAGAATTCATGAAGCAATAAATGGTGGAACACAAATATTTAAAAGTACAGCTTTTCAGCAGATCTGAGTTTTAGAATTAACAACTCCATACAGCAATTAATAAAATGTAAAAAAATGTGCTTTCAAGAAGACGCATGCAATTATACACTTGTGATTATTACAATGCTAGGAGGCATCACACTTCAAACTAGTATCTATTTGACATTCTGCAGATGAGAAAACATGTTTTAATCTGGAGACAGACTGCAATAGTAGATGGAGGCAGACATAACAATTTACACTAGTGGCACATTTTTGAAGTTCAGAAATTTCCTTCAGTTGAGAGATGTGATTAGGCAGGCTTACTGACCCTGGCTGATTAACAAGAGAAGGAAAGTGCCAGGCAGTTTAAAAACAAAAAAACAAACAAACAAAAAACACATTGTTTCTCTTATCCCGCAGCTGGTACCTTGATTCCAAGGACAGAGCCATACAAGACATTTTATGTTCCACAACTGCGGCATCAATTCCAAGGGCATACCCCAGTATCTCTTTGTTCCCTTTTTTCCTGCCAAAGTTTTAAATTAGGGCTGAGCTCGGGAGGAAGGAGCCAGTAATAGAAGACTGGCATCACGAGAAAGAAGATAATGATGGCAGAGCTTTCCAATAAAAGACCTCGTGGCTCCATTGGGGGCTGGAGCTGTCTTGAGCTGGTTGAAGGCTCTCTGTAAAAGTTTTTGGGGTTTTTTTTTTTGTGTGTGTGCTTTTTTCCCCTTCTTTCTCTGAGCAATAAAGCAGCTCTTTTTTTTCACTTTGTCCTTCTGCCTCTACTGACAATTCTGTCTCAATCGGCAGGTAAGGACCCACAAATTTGTGGAGGGGCTTGCCCACATGTTTCATGGGCTTTCCAACTTGGGGGTCTCTCTATCCGCTAACACAGTCACCAGTCCTCTATCAACAGGAAAATATGCTTTCTAAAATAGGAGAAATACAAAATAAGCAAACTACTAGGCTTACCATGAAAACTTAAGTCTTATTATTATCCATACAATGGAAAATAAATACTACTGATTTAGAGAGACTGGGGATAATATGGAATCACCCAAAAAAAAGCACAAAATTATTAATATCTTAATAATCATTAAATATTAATTTTATTCTAGTATATGCAGGTACTCCAATCAGAATATTTCTTTCCATCTTATAAATAAGGACTGAAATTATAATTTTCCTAAAATGTTCATTTTTCAGAAGAAAATATCTAGGTTTAACAGTACTTGATCAGTGTAACAAGGTACAAAAAAGCGAGTTTTTCTTTCGTCTCATTTACCAGAAAGTGGAAAAAAATTAGCTGAGGGTCCAATCCTAATATTTATTGAATTATCAAGTAGACTGCAATTTTTCTTTGAAAACACTATTAGATGGAAAAGGAGCAAATAAAGCGAAAGGGAAGGAAAAAAAGGCAACGTTCCAAGACAAGTGAAAGTCAGAGTTGGATACTGATACAAGTTTATACAACAGTGATGTTTCTTTTCTTGGACATCACTTTGAATCTTTTGAAATCCTTTAAACACACATATAGAAAAATTATGCATTACTCTGAACAGTCAAGGTAAAACTTGCTTACCTTGCAAATTGTAAGCGGCCAACTGAACTGCTGTTTCAAAAGGACACTCTAACCTGAGACCAAAACACAAATTTGTTAGACAAGACAATTTCACAGCCTTTGTTTTACGATAAATGGAAATACATGCTTTATGTTGGACATTTCTTTTTCATAATTTATAACTATAAACTTATTTTTCAGAATCATTTTTCAACTAGTCAGGAAAATGTGGTTTACCTTAAACTAATACTCACTTTCCACTGAGAATATCTTGTTTTAACTGAAGAACAAATAAATACCTAAGAAAAGTAAAAGGTATAAATTATACAAATAGAATAATCTGCTGTGAAAAATAATCCTGCTGTCTAATTGGACAAGAAATATCCTTAATTATAGAATTTTACCCATAATAAAGTCTGTAAAGGAAAAAAGAATATGAAAAAGGAGGCAATAAACATCAGGAGGATGGCAGCATGTCCACATGATAGCAGCAAGGAATAGCAGGCCACAGAGTACTGTACAGCACCTTAAAAGAAAAGGTTTAAAATGAATTCCTGGCATTGAGCTCTGTGATCTGATTTAATCCTACTCTGACAACACAGCCACCTTATAAATAAAGGGATACAGCTCTGTACATATGGATAATAACTACAATCTCATTCATTAGCAGAGTGTTCAAAAGGAAACCCTTCCAAAGAGACTCAGCAACTCAAGTTTTCACTTAATAAAAAATAGTATGTGCTCATGAGTCACAGATTTGTAATTGAGTCAGTGAATAAAGACTAAGGAGCCAAGACAAAATAAAAATAAGTGTTTATAACATATTCAAAGTTATTCAAAACTATTCAAGCAAAGCCAAGATTTAACATTTTTCATTAATCAATGGCATTTCAATAGGTAAAGTCAGGAGCCAATTCGAAGTAATTCCCAGTGACTAAAGACAGATCATTTGAATATCAATAAACATAATATGGTAATGTATTGAAACACATCAGTCCTGTTTAAAATCTGTGAGTTGATAATGACAATTTAAAGAAAGAACTTCCTAGTGGATGCTAGAGAACTAATTCTTTATTTTGAAAACTGGTAAACAAAGAAAAAAAAATCCTGCACTTAAAATAATACTGCCCTAAAATGAAATTCTTCTGTCTGATGTCTTATTACCAGAGGCAAAGTAACCATTTTTAGCTGTTTGTAAACTAGAAAGAATTATAAAGACAATCTTCCAACATCTTCAGCTAGCCTGCCCAAAACTTTACTCTTGTACACAACTCTAGATAGTGGTCTTACCGGGTTAGCTCTTCACGAAGATTATTTGGTTCTGAGGAATAAAACTTAACTCGAAGATGCAGACAATAGGGTGAACCAACTGCCATTTGGGGAAAGAAGAAAAAAAGGCCTTAATTTTTTAAATACAGCTATTTAAATAGTAAGAATTTTCAGTCGGTAATTTGTCAAAAATCTACTGAAGTGTACAGAAGGTAACAGATTACTGTGGCAATAGTTCGGGTTACACTGTGGGCTTGATTAAACCCAACACCACAAGAGCAATCAACAGATGTTTTAAATGTGCCAGCCATCATATCCTACTACCAGTCATCTGTCCTCCTGAGAACAGACAGCTCCAGATTAATTCTAACAGTTTAGGGCCAAAGATATCAAATAAAATAAAAGTCTTGATTATGCACTCTAACAGCCCTAAAAATCCACAGAGCTGTATTTCTTGAGGGCACGGAGGAATGCCTACCTTATTAATGGCACATGGCAAATCCCCCCACATACTTTCTAATTCACTTCCCCTACTTCACTAACCTCTATATTCTCAGTGGTCCCATTATTTTGTAAAGAAAAGAGTTGAGGTGCCCTGATATCTCCATTAACAGAAAACATGACAGATTATGGATTGGACACTGGTATTTTCCCCCTGACTATCACTAGGAATAATACTGACATTTTATGTGAATTGCTTCTTTTGATTCCTTAAAAAAAAAAATTTAGTCTTAAAGGCCTTGAAAGATTTTCTAGAGTAAGGCAGGTGCCAAACAGGAAAATCCTAACATAAGTAATTACTACATAAAAGTTAAGCATCTCATGGAAACTCAATCTCATTTGCAAACTGCAAGCCTTTTCCTGGGTACAAACTAAAGGCACTTGAATTCAGATTACCATCAACTGTGTATAATTTAAGAGATGGGTCAGTATATCAGATTGAAATTATTTTTAGAAAGTAGAAATGTAAGAAACTCATCTGAAATATGATTTCTTATGTCTTTAACTATTAGAAATCAGAAGTTTAATAATATACAATTATATATAATTGGAGTTCCACTTTTTTCCACAATTTTTTCAATACTTACTTTTTACTTGCTTTTTGATGCTCTTTGTACCATCCAACCAATGCTAAAAATAAAAACAAAGTTAGCTGTTAAGCAGATGAGAGAACTTAACATTTTAATTATTAAAGTTAATTTTCATCATGCGTTTGCTTATAACCATAAGGAAATATTTCATAAGAGAAAAATAAAAGTGAGACTGAAAATTTGGGGGAAGGAGGTTAACCTGCCCAGACTCTACAGCAAGCTTATGATATATATGAATATAAAAAGACCTAAAACCAGACATATGACTTCTTAAAACATTTCCTCTGCTCTCTTAGTAACCAGGATGATATTCTAAATTCTGCCCTTAGTTTTTCTCACTGTTCCCCAAAAGATAAGTCTCAAAAATGGTACAATCAGACAGAAGAAAAGTATCCTCATATTCTAGTGCTTGGTTCATTCTTGTAATTAAAAAAGTGAGATTTATTAACCGGTCATGACCCCAAATTTGGTGAAAAAATGTCACTCATATTTTACAAAACAGATACTACTCAAAGTAGTAGTCTTTGAAAGAGCTTGCACAATAAAATTAAACTCTTTGTCATAACCAAGCCCCTATCCATTAAATAAGCAGTCTTTCCTCCTTTGCTTTACAAATAAAAAATGATAACATTGTGATTAGCAGACTTCTGGTTTCAAGAGTAATAGACTTTTTTTTTTTGAGTTATAGTCAGTTTAAAAAGTTGTGACAATTTAAGAGTAATAGACTTTTGATTTCTGTAACCTCTTCACTCTGAAACACAAACAGACCTAAGAACCAATTCCAGAGACGTCCACTGATAAACCATTCCCAGCTCACTTCTCATTATTAATCCCTTTACACCACCAAGCTCTAACAGGGACAGGATGCACTCATCCCACTAAGATACACATGACTGTGTTCTATTCAGCATGCTTACAATTCCAAGCACCCTACAGGAAAGGAGTGCTCTTGTGCTAGCTAGTTCACAGAGCAAAGGAATCCAGTCCCAGAAATCCAGATAGGCAAAGAGTGGATAAACAAGGCTGCATTGTTAAAAGACTTATAACCATCTGCTTTTCTTGCCAATTATTTGCCTAGCCTCTTCTCCCTATTCTCTGCCAAGATCCAAAAGTGAAATTCATAGAACCACCAGTGTGTTGGCAAAGTACCTCTGGCACGTCGAAATACGATGGTCAATAAACAATTCAAAAGGCAATTAAATACTGTGTGATATTTTTCTGGATCTATATGTGTAGGCTACTTGGCCATCTTTCGTCTTTCAGTAAATTCAGGTGGATATCCACTTTTAAGCATATTTCAATCTAGCAAGTGTTCAGTATTACACATCCATCCATTAATATAATGCTAAGCCAGCCAAAAAGCAGAACACAGTTCAACCTATCAGCTGAAAATATTTCACCTAGGACAGTGTAAAGTGCATCCATCAGGCCAAGCCCAGAAATACAATATTCAAAAATCAAAGACTTAATTGTGCAAAATGCCTACTACAGCCTAATGCTAATCACATACTGGGTATGAGATAAAATTTGCTTATGTGCCCTAGACTGTTTTCTCCACACAATCATGGATCTGGGAGTTGCTCTATCTTGAGGTTCCATCTATTATACTGCAATGAATTAATAAGTGAATGGCTGGTCACCTGGGCAGTCTCACATAACCTCAGCTGGGGGGACTCTCATATACCATAATGAGTACAAATGAGCACAAACCTTCCAGGAGGCAATTTAACTGTGCCTTAGAAATAACCATGTGTCTTTGACTCAGCAATTCTACATTCAGAAATCATTATGGATGATTTAACCCACAAGGAATTATATCAGAAAATAAAGACAATCTATATATCCAACAATAGTGAATTGGTTAAATAAAGTATTTCAATATGATACAACAATGCAACAATTAAAAAGAATGAAAGCAAAAACTCTTAGGAATCTGGAAAATCATAATACATTGTTAAAATTCTAAAAGGCAGATTACAACATATTTTAAATTGTTTTATCAAAATTGTAGAAATTTATACAGCTGACCCTTAAACAACAAGGGTTTGAACTATACAAGGATTTTTCTCACTAAGCACATAATACAGTACTACACAATCTTTGGCTGGTTGAATTCACAGATGCAGAACCTTTTATACAGAGGGTTGACTTAGAAAAGTTAGTCACGCGGATTTTCAACTGTCAGTATGCCTAACCCCCACATTGTTCATGGGTCAACTGTGTACATAAACGTGCCTTTTCTTTTGGACTGAGACAAAATCTGTAACAAAACAGTAACAGAGGTGTTATCTCTAAGTGGTTGAGACGGCTGTGATAATTTTTCTTTGTGCTTTCCTATATTATCAGCTTACTCTACAAGCACATTATTACTTAAAACAGTAATTATAGATCCCTTATTTTAGTATTTTATATAAGTAATATATTCATATGGCTTAATTTTTTTTTTGCAGTATTAAAAGGTATATGGTCAACAGTCCCCTCAACCCCTGAAATACCCCCATACAGCCAATTTCTATCACTACAAACACTACTCCCCTCTGGATGTTATTGTTTTCTGATTCCTTCCAGAGTTTTCAAACATAAAAGGAAAAAAAAAACTGCATGTGTTGGTAAAGAATAAAGAAATTAACAATGGACTGAAAATCAAGAAGCTAAATATAAATTTTGACAGAATAAATTTTAAGGAATATTGAGAAGGAAACATTAATCTAAGATAGATCATTTACTATTTCAAGAACCTAAAGTCTTTTTTAGACAGTTACAAATTTCCAGTTTAAGAATATTTAAGGCTAGTCTCATAAATGTACCTTTAATCTCTAATTTGCATCCTACTCTTCTGAGAAGCACACTAAACATACAATCATCCTGGTGAGAAAAGGACCACAGTTTTTTTCCAAGTAGGCATTTTAGTCCCTTTTCTACCGGCATGTAATAGCTTCTACACTGCCCTCCTTTAAAACAGCCCAAAACTCAGATAAAGATTCAAGCAAATTTTAAAGTTAAATTTAGGAGCTGGGGGAGTTCCTGGTGATGTTCTTCTGGGGAAGGTCTGAGTTCATGTTTGCATATTCTCAAGTCTGTTTTCTTTCATCTCCTCCACATTCCAAACCCAGGGACTGGAAAATTCAGAGCTCAGAGACAGGCACTGATAGTATTTTCCTTGAATCAGGGTCTTCAGGAGTTGAGTTTAAATTACAACAGAAGATAAAGGTGAGAACATGCAGATACAGATTTTTGGATGAATAATGTGAAACTAATATGGTTCTTTCCTCATGTACCATAAAAAGGGAACAAATTCCTTCTAATTTCCTACTTTTAAAGTTTGGTTGGTAAACTTAGAATTCAAAGGAAAACTGTTCCATTCTGTTGAACTAGGCATGAAAGAACAATTACTTATGTGGGTGTCTTAAAATATAAATAACATACAATCACAAACGTAACAGCCATCACTAAACCAAACAAAGAATCACCTAGGAAGATTCCAAAACACTAACATACACACACCCTTATCCCAGTCCTTATAGCCAAACAGTCTGTAAACAGCTCTTCAAATGAATGATCCCCGATTTCCAACCACCCACATGGCCCTACTAAAGAAATGCACCAACACTTTTGCCAGAGAGCAAAGAACTTAATGCAGAGAAATGTTAACCATTTTTTGAAACAATTGCCTCTGCAAAAAATAGTTCACCTGTGAGGAGTAGAGACTTATGCTCTGAATTAAAGGATTCTTTTAAAGCAAATTTTAACATTTTGAACAATTAACAAATATTGAAAATCTATGCCATGAAAACAGAAGATCACTACATTGCACTGCTGTAATCTAACTGAAAATACTTCAATTTACTCTAGATTCTTATTCTATCTAGGTGATTACTTTTGGCATTAAAAGTCTGTGTTAAAAGACATTCCAAATGAAGACTCAAACGAGCCATTAAAATATATTTTCCATTATACCTTTCTGTGTATTATTAATACACTTTCTTAGGATCCTAAAAATGTCAAATTTATAATGGAAATCTAGGTGATTTAGGTAGGTTATATATTCACTCTCTGGACATAGAGCACATAATCTATTTTGGAAATACACTTTTTCAGAACAGTTCCTCCTTATTTAGCAAATATCTGTACCTGTGTGTGTGTGTCACAATACAGATTATATACATATGTATATTTAACAAAAATATTGTTCCCAGTACCTCCACCAAGAAATAAATAAAATAAATAAATCTACTTTCCCCACCCCCCAAAATTTTCTTAGCATGCATGACGTCCTGGGTTCAATTCTCAGTACCTCCACCAAGAAATAAATAAAATAAATAATACAGGAATAGAAGAGGTCTTCTTCAAAATGATAAAGGGCATCTATAAAAATCCCACAGGTAACATCATTTGATGGTGAAAGATTGAACATTTTCTCCCCTAAAATCAAGAATAAGACAAGAAGGTACACCCTCACCACCTCTATTTAACATCTTACTATATGTTCTAGTGAGAGCGCTTAGGCAAGTAAAAGAGATAGGAGAAAAGAAAAAGAAGTAAAAGGCATTCATATTAAAAAGGAAGAAGTAGAACTATCCCTTTTTGCAGATGACATAATCTTACACATAAAACACGTAAAAACTAGTAAGTTCAGCAAAGTTGCAAGATACAAGATACACATACAAAAATGAACTTTATATACTAGAATCCAAACAAAATCCAAAAATGATACTAAGAAAACAATCATAGGTACAATAGTATCAAAGGATTAAAATGCCTGTGAATAAATTAAACGAAGGAGGTGAAAGACATATAAGCTGAAACTATAAAACATTATTTTAAGAAATATAAAGACTTAATAAATGGAAAGATGGTCCATGCTCATGGATAAGACTTATCATTAAGATGGCAGTACTTCCCAAATGGATATACAGATTCAAGGCAATTCTGGTGAAAATTCCAATTGCTTTCTTGGCAGATACGGACAAGCTAATCCTAAAATGTATATGGAAATACGAATGACCCAAAAGAGCTGAAACAATCTTAAAACTGAAGAATGAAATTGAAGGACTCACACTTTTCAATTCCGAACTTACTATAACACTTTTCAATTCCAAACTTACCATAAAGGTACAGTAAACAAGACAATGTGGTGCTGGCATAAGGATCAACACATAGGTGAATGGAACAGAATAGAGAATCCAGAAACACACCCATATACCTATGCTCAAATGACTTTCAGTAAGCATGACAAGACCATTCAATGGGGAAAGAATCATCTTTTCAACAAATGGTGTTAGGACCACTAGGTATCAGAAGTTTGACCCTTACAGCATATACAAAAATTAACTCCAAATGGATGAAGAAGAAAACATGTGTAAATCTTTGTGACCATGGAATAGGTAACAGTTTTATAAATATGACTAAAACCGTAACTAAAGGAAAAGTAGAAAAATAACACTTAATCAAAATTAAAACCTTTTGTGCAAAGGACACTATCAAGGAAATAAAAAGACACACTACAGAATGGGAGAAAATATTCACAAATCATGCATCTGAGAAGGGTCTAGTATCCTCCCAAAATAAAAACTCTTAAAACTCAACAATTAAAAAGAAATAACCCAGTTTTAAAGTGGGTAAAGAATCTGAATAGACAACTGTCCAAAAAAGATATACAAATGACAAATAAGTACATGGAAAGATGCTCACATGTTTTCTATTAGGAAAGTGCAAATCAATATAACTAATGCAGTTAGAATTAAAAAGAAGCAGCTATGGGAAATAGTTTTTCAAATTTGTTCATGTATATGTGTGAGCATAAATTCAGATTTTTAAAAATCGAAAAATTCAATTATACTGTTTTGTAACCCTTCTTATTTTTACATGATTCATGTCAATTAGTATACTTTAAAATATCACCATTTTTAATGAGCTGCAGGCTGTACCAAAAATAACCTAACCAATAACCTATACCTAAATCTTCATGCTTAATTTTTTTAAATGGAGAGGAGTTGGCAATCAAGAAAACAACTGCAACTAACATTATTAACAGCTGTAAATTTAGCCAAGATGCTCTATAAAATCAGTCTAGGAGTTGATCTCCAAGTGATGTGAGTTTTGTGAAGTGTCTTATAGAGGTATTCCAGTTAATTAATCACACCAAAACTACTCCCACATACCTACTCCAAAAGGAACCTGAGAATTCTTATTATATATACTGTTCATATGGGTCCTAAACACTGCATTTATTGTGTTACTAAATACACACACATCTCCCGTCAGCCTTCCAGAAAATAAGGCTTAATGTCCTGGTATCTTCATCTCTGCTCCGCGCCTCTCCCTGCTACTGTAAGTGCCCTGTTTCAGGCTTTTTTTTTTTTTTTTAACATTTTTTTTTGATTTATAATCCTTTTACAACGTTATGTCAAATTCCAGTGTAGAGTGTTTCAGGCTGTAATATTACTTTTCTCTCCAAAGTGTTTGCACTAACTCTCTCTGACTTTAATCTCTGCCTGCTCCAAATAATCCTACACAGTATTTCTACGTAAAACTTCCTAAAGCAAAATATAACCTCCCTGCTTGAAAAATTCCTAATCTCAATTACCAGAGAATAGTGCCAATCTATTACTAACACTTCGGCATTCAGTTTAGATGATATGGCCACTAATCCACCTTTTAATCTTAATTTACTACTTACTCTTTCAAGTACCCTCCAGTCATATCCTAGTAAAGTACTCAATTCTTTGAAAAAGTCTCCAACTTCCTACCATATTACATATGCTGTTATCTCATCTGAAATGCACAAGTCAAACAAAGAACATCTATCTATAGATACAGAATCACAGATCTGGAAGGGATATTAGGGATATCTTAGGCCATTCACCTTAAATTGCAAATTAGAAACTCCTCTATCACTTACCAAGAGCCCACAAAACTCCCATCCTAGCATTCTCTCCCTTACACAGTGTTAACTCTAGTGTGCCCAAGAATCAATCCAGTGGTCAAGATTTCAAAGCCTCATCCACAAAGATTATGCTCTAGTAATTTGGGTTAGGGCCAGAACTCACTTTAAAAAAAAAAAAAAAGCACCTCGGGTTATTCTGAAGCACAGGGTCAAAGCTTCAGACCATAGTAAGAAAATTACACAAAAAAAGAACACATTAAGGACAAATAGCTTTGTAGTATTTAGCACATCATCTGAAATTTTCCATTTCAGAGCCTCCAAAAAACAGCTACTCACTGCTACTTGTGCCGAGTCCATAAATCTCAGTCCAAAATAGTCGCTTTCAATAAGGTCCAAGTGGTACATAATCTGATCAAACAGTTCTTGTCCTTTGGCTTTTTTCTGAAATGGCAAGAAAATAAACCAGTAAGTGGCTTATAAGATTAACATATTTTTAGTTATACAAGATCTCTTAAAAAAATTACCTGCAATACCAAAAGTATTACCTTGTAGCAGGTAATGGGTAAGATACCACGATTTTCCAATAAATCATTTAAGGCCAAAAAGAGAATTTGTGATCTACTATGTGCTTTCCTGGAGAATGTTACTTCCTATCAATCAACAAATATTACTTTCTATCTAAACTGTGTGCAAGGAGAGACTCTTATCTTGACAATTTTTAGAGTCCCTACTTTAAAGGAGCTTTATAATGTAACTGGAAAGAAAAGAAGAAAACTTAGAACACCTAAGTACAAGTCATATTGAACTATTTGCTGACTGATTTTAGAGAAGAGTCACTGAGACTATAATAATCAGTGAAGACTTGAAGATCGGTCTTAAATTGGGAAAGAATCTAGGGCAGGGAATAGCAAATACAGAAATGGAAGGTTATTATAAAATATTAGCTATATTCCCTGTGTTGTATAATATATCCTTAGAGCTAATTTTATACCTTGTAGTTTGTACCTCTTACTTCCCTACCCCTATATTGCCCCCTCCCCACTGGTAACCACTAATTCGTTCTCTGTAACTGTGAGTCTGCTTCTTTTTTGTTATATTCACTAGTTTGTTTTATTTTTTAGACTCCACATGTAAGTGATACATATATTATTTGTATTTCTCGGTCTGACTTATTTCACTTAACATAATACCTTCCAAGTGCATCCATGTTGCTGCAAATGGCAATTGAAAATGATGCTACTATGAATACTGGGGTGCATGTATCTTTCTAAATTAGTGTTTTTGTTTCTTTCCCATTCCATACTCTCTTAAGGGTTTTTCATTTCATTATGCACTTAATAGTTTACAGGAAATATGTTTTTGACATACCATCAACTCTATTCAACAATTACTGGACAGACACCTATTATGTATTAGCTGCTAGAGGTATATAGATAAATATGCTTATACTACTTGCCTTCAAGCAATCACAAAGTTCTTACTAAGAATAAAATTATATAAAACTAGCTTAAACACAATAAACATGAGTGCTATTCTTGCAGTATAAACAAAATGCTAAAGAAATGAGGATGAGTTAAGTTTGCCTGAAAGCAATGAAGGCCTCAGAAGAATTCATATTTGACATTCAGCCTGGAATGGTTAACAGAAATCGGTCACCTTAGGTAAAAACAAAATGAAGAAATACATAAAATCTTGACAGTCTATGGTGGGCTTGAGGAAAGAGACAGACTCAAGACAGACAAGAATCAGAAGACAAAGTGGCAGAAGTTGCCAATGTGATTCTTCCTAAAACTGCAGAACAGAATGTCACTCTCTGTCTTTAAAATCCTTCAATTATTTCTCTTCCTCTACAGATAAAAGTAGATTCCAAGGCATAAAACAGTCTTTCCTAACTGTTCCTTGCTTACTCTTACAGCCTTATCTCCTGTCCATCCAGTATTTTTACCTGCTTATAATTTCCCCAGTAAGTCATACCTCTGAGCCTTAGCAAAATGCAATTCTTTCTGCTTAGAATGCCCTTTAGGTCGCTAATGAATTCCTGATTCTGACTTCAAGAATCAGTACATCTATGTTACTTTCAAAAAGCCACACAATGAATCCTCCTCCCTTTGTGCTACTTTGTACTTATAATTCTTATTAGTATAAACCCAATGCAAGGGAGGAGTTGTAAAATGGTCCACCATGTTTGGGCAAATAGTAAGAAGATCCAGTGTGGCCAGAGTGTATAGAATATGAATATGGAATCACTGATTCCGAGGTCAGGATCTTACTCATTTTTCATGTACCCTTTCCCCTCGCAGCCACTGAATATAAACCAAATGAAAAAGGAAAAGTGAAAACATAGATCCACACAGCTCTGGCCCATTACAAATTCATTTTTCAGCTACATCTAGACCAGTGCTTACTACTTATATCCTTTTCTTTCCTAACAAATTAATCCAGGTCACCATCTCATTTAGACCCAATCCTCACTTCATATCCTCTTCTGTGGAAGATTAAGACTCAGAAGACAGCATCCTTCTATTAGGCTTTCATCTTTCTCAGCAAAAGATGGTATTCCTCCAAGAATGTTCATCCTGTCATCTCTATCTGTGTATATAAAACCAATTCCTGAGGAACATTTCCCCTACACATTTAAACAAACTCAGATCTACCCATCCAGCCATTCTCTAGCTGCTGTGTTACTTCCTTCTTCCTTTTACTGCCAAATCTCATGGCAATCCTCCATTTTCCCTTTATGCATTCCCTCCAACAACCAAACAATATTTATTTAGCACTTGCTAGGCATAAGGGACTACAGGAGCTCAAATATGTTTGTTCCCAATAATTCTTTTAAACCCTCTGACAGACAGCTTCCAAGCACATCCCACTGAAGCTTTTTCCCCACTTCATTCTTTTACTCCTTCTCCCCTGGAGAGTTGATTACCCTCTCATGATCTTCTACACAATCAATATAACTCCCACACCAAACCATATTTTACTCATTTCTAATCTTCATTCTCTCCCCTCCCATGTCCATGTACAAAGTATTTCTCCCACAGCAAACTTACAGCCACTACTGGTGTGCAGCCTTTGTTACTTGTGCCTTTATCCCTGTACAATCTCTAGGCTTGCTTTTTTCCCCCCTGTAATGAGTCAAGCATATCATCTCTAAATTAAACCTGTATGTAATTTTTGTTTAACTACCAAAAAACCTTAAGTGGGATAAAACACAAGTATATAAAAATCCATACATTCTTTTTCTTAAACAGCCTTGAGATATAAATCACATACCATACCACTCACCCATTAAAAGTATGCAATTCAAAGGTATTACATTCACAAATATGTACAACTATCACTTCAATTTTAGAACACTTTCATCGCCTCAAAAAGAAACCTCATATCTTTTTGCTATTGGCCCCAACCACCCTTCACACTATCCTCTCTCTCCCCGTCCATCTGCCCTAATCAACCTCTATTCTACTCCCCCACCCCCAGAGATTTCTCTATCCTGGACTCTTATGTGAATGGAATCATATAATATGTGGTATTTTGTGACTGGCTTCTTTCATCTAGTATAATGTTTTCAAAGTTCATCCATGCAGCATGTAACAGTACCATTTCCTTTATGGTCAAGTAGTATTCCCTTACATGGATATAACACATTTATGCAATCATCTGCTGACAGACATCTAAGTTGTTTATATTTTTGGCTATTAAGAATAATGCTGCTGCAGTTCCAGAACCAGCATCCTCACATCCACTAGCCAGGCCACCTTCCCTGTTTAGTCTCCACCCGAGTTCTGCAGTGCCCTTCTTCAAGCTTCTAGCGTCTTCTTTGTTCTCCCAGCCGTAGGCGTGGTAGCTTCTCTAAACACTACCTTCATGTTACTTTCATGACTCCTTTTCAGTTTTTTCATCCAATTCCTTATGTTTTTGCTTTTGAAATGACTGGTGTGATTTCTGGCCTTTACTGATACAATGGATCTGAATGTTATAAACGTTAAGTATAACAATAATTCTTCATAGTGTATAGTGGACATTGAGTGCTGGAATTGTGAATGGCTTTATTTTGATAAACTTATCTAGTAAGATTTAAATAAATTTTCAACAAATTAAAGTACAATTTTATTTAAACACTTATAAAATTTTTATATTGATGAATTATGATTTGTATTGTGCCTTTTACTTTAAATAAAATTTTTTTACTCCTTTAAAAAAGAAATAATGCTGCTATGAACATCTGCATACAAGTTTTTATGTAAACATGTTTCCAATTCTCTTGGACATATACCTAGAAGTGGAACTGCTGGATCACATGGTAACTATGTTTAATCATTTAAGGATCTGCCAGACTGTCTTCAAAAGCAGCTGGAATACTTTACATTCCTGCTAAAAAAATGTAAGAGGATTCAGGTTTCCTCACATCCTTACCGACACTTGATATTAACTGGCATTTTTATTTTAGCTTTTATGGTTGGTGTGGAGTAGTATCTCATAGTTTTTATTTGTATTTTTCTGATGACTAATGATGACAAGCACTACATGTGCTTATTGGTCATTTGCATATCCTATTGAGAGAAATGTCTGTTCAGATTCTTTGCCCATTTTTAAATTGGGTCATTTGTCTTTTTATTATTGGGTTCTAACAGTTCTTTACATATTCTAGGTATTTATCAGATACATATTTGCAAATACTCTCTCTCATTCTAGGAATCTTTTCACTCTCTTGATGCTGTCCTCTGAGGCACAAAAGGTTGTAATTTTGATAAAGTCCAATTTATTTGTTCTTTTGTTGTTCACGTTTTTGGTGTCATATCTAAGAAACTAGTATCAAATCCAACGTGATGAAGACTTACCCCTGTATTTTCTTCTAGAAGTTTTACAGTCTTATGTTTAGGACTTTGATCCATTTTGAGTTAATTTTTCTACACGGTACATGTTAAGGTTCCAACTTCATTTCTTCTGCATGTGGCTATCCAGTTTGAGCACCACTTATTGAAAAGATTATTCTTTCCCTCATTGAATAGTTTGGGAACCTTGTCAAAAATCAACTGACCACAGATGTATAGGTTTATTTCTGGGTTCTCTATTCTGTTCCATTGGTCTATGTGTCTAACCTTGCTCCAGCAAAGCATACCATCCAGATTACTACTGCTTGATAGTAAGTCAAAACTGGGAAGTATGAGTCCTACTACTTTGTTCTTTTTCAACATTGTCTTGGCTCTTCTGGGTGCCTTGAAATTCCACATAAGTTTTAAAATCAGCTTGTCAATTTCTACAAATAAGTCAGCTGATATTCTGGTGGGATTATGTTGAATCTGTAAATCAGTTTTGAATGTATTATCATCTTAACACTGCACTGTTAAGACCTTTAATTTGTGAACATGAAATTTTTTTTTTTATTTATTTGAAGGTGTAATGGTCTATATAATTTAAGAACTTGGGCATCCATGTCAGCAAAGTATATAAAAATTGTTATCTAATGGTTAATCAACTATTACCTATTAATTTAAAACTTAAAACAGAGAAATGTAAATAAAACCATGAGATACTGCTTCACACCAACTATGAATGCTAAAATAAAAATGCCAGATAATATCAAGTGTTGGTAAGATGCAGAGTTTTACTATACAGGCTATTTACTAAACAACAGTAAGTTCATAAATCAAAGGAATTATTATGGCATTTCCAAAGAGAAAATTAACGTCAGATAATTAGAAATTTCTACCTGCTGCCTTTATCATTTACTGAAAGACATTCTCACTATACTAGGTCCCTAAAAAAAGGAAGCAGAAGGTATTCGAATCCCTCCCCCTATTTTGAGAAGAACAGAAAAAAAAAATGACCATTACAACTAGTACATATTAATTTGAAGTGTACAGATTTAAACTTCTTTACTTAATTACAGGTAATCCCTTACATATTGCCTGGGCAATCACCTTAATTCTACGCGCTTGCTACGATCAATAGTGACTAATCCTAATGGGAAGTAAGCATGTGCACCAATTTCCAAGAACAATCTAAATCTTCTTTCAGAATCATACTAGACTGGTTGAGAAGCTAAATCAAAAAATGAGAAAATCTTTTCCTCCTAGAAATTATCATTCCTTTGGCCTATTTTCTTTAGTAAGACAGTTTAGCTGGAAGGCAGGGAGAGTAGGCAGTGGCCATTTTATATCCACGCACACATCTAGCATTAGTTTACTAACTCTAGGATTTCACCTGCAGAGTTGAAAAGGCAATTGTTCTAGTTCCACATAGACTCTAACCTAAAACTCTCGGTTTTTTCACTGCAATTGTCCGCATAAGAGGGTAGCTAACATTTTTGCCCTTGATCAAGCATCACACACACACTTTCTGAGCATACCAAGCAAAGGAAACCGACCTGTACCAGTCACCAGCCATTTAAAACCTAGTGCTGCTTTCTCCTCCACACTACACTGCTGTTTCAGAAAACTCCTTTTCAAATTCTATTTTCCTGGTTATCAGCCTCTCCATCAACAACCCAGAGACTTCCTACTTCAAACATTAGGCAAAAAGAAACTTTTTTCCACTCTCTTACATAGCAATCTCAACTTTTTCAACCACATATCTAATGATATTTTAATGGAATAGTACACAAAACACTTAAGATACTTATCACATAAGAAATGAATATGAAAACTATCCTCACAAAGTATCACATACTGGAATGTCTGACACACCCTTAAAAAGCCCTTATAAGAAGAAAATTTAACCACATTAAAGTCTTTCAGAAACAAAAACTCTGAAAATGCCCAGTCTAATGTACAAATATAATGAATACTTATTAGATGACTTCAAAACACTTCAAGAAATCCTGTGTCTTAATTTTATATTACATTATTTTAAAAATGTGTAGGTACATACCTAGCATATTCTAGATTATTCAAATTAATCAGAATGTTCATTTAAACAAACTATCCAATTCCTTAATCTCCCACTCTTTGAGTTTAAGGCCTTCCAGAGACTATTCAACTATGTACTGTTGCAGCACCCAGGCTATTACCTCACACCAAGAGATTTTTTTAAATTGCATTTTGGGTAAATGAGTGTGTACTAAAAAAAGTTTGTAAGGACGGAAGACATTGTGGAACACTTAATGACATCAAATCACACATCTTATAGCTCAGTTACATAAATCTTTTAATACAGAATGAAGACATGAGAAGGAGATTTGGTTTAGCAAATAGCTCAGAAACTCAGCTCCCTGCAAACCATACAGCTACCTCCCCCTCCCTTCAAAAAAAGACCTGTAAGGAATAAGCTATCCCCTTTCAAATATATTAGACTGTTTCACACTGTGAGTTATGATTATTCATAACAGTAAAAAAAAACTATCCAAAACTTGAATATAATTTAAAAATCCAATCTTGAAATAAAGATTACAGTGTATGAAACACCTACCCTGCAAACTACTTGGGAACAAAGAGCTAGGCAGCCAGAGCTGAGGAGTATATAAAGAAAGTCCTTCTTCTCACTGTATTTCACTAAAATTTCTACAAGCACACCAAACTGTGGAGGAAATATTTGTTTTGAGGAAAGCTGAAGAGTATTTTGAAAATTACAAAAAGTACAGAGAACTAAAAATCTTACAGTATCCATGTAGCATCATTCCCAAAAATTCTCATTGCTTTAGTAACTGCTCAATAAGGACTGTGAGAAATCCACTAAAGTACACTACATACTGCCATCGTACAGAACACACAAGTACACACAAAAATGACTCATGACAATAACTGCACTAACATTTGAAAGTTTCAGTTAACTGCCACTAATCCCAGAGAAATACTATCATTCCAGATATCTAATGTTACCTGATCCATGTACGTGTATGCAATAGCACCTGATCCATACCAATCAACATTACCTAACTCTTACAGGAAGTTATCAGTAGAAAGCTCAGAAGAAGACAGTGACCTCATAAAGAATTTGTAAGTCACCAAGATCTACATACCGGCAAGTCCACACTAACGTCAGTACCATCTAGAAGGGACACTCGACAGGTGATGATGGACTTAGCGTCTCCAGCTGCAGGAATGTGTGTGGCAGCTCGCTGAGCTTCTCGGAGTCTTTCCTTCTCAGCATGTTTACGCATCGACCGACGTCCAAGTGTTCTACGGAAGAAGCTCAGCATTTTTGTCACTATAAAACCGGAGAGAAAAGGTATCAGAAGACTCCCCACAACGTGCAGTCAGACAAATGGCGTGATTCAGTAAAGTTCTGAGAACATTAGTAGGTGTTATTAAGGGCGTCTGGGCAAGTAAATCTGAAAAAAATAATTAAAACTAGCTACTTTAATTCAAAGTTTTTAAAGGTTTTAACATAAAACAGACCTATGGCTTACATTATTTCTAAACTTACTGGACTATTTTATAAGGTGCTAATCTGATAAGAGAGGGCAAATATTTATGAAGTTCATCTGGTCTTTTGGGTCAATAAATTATACGTACAACAACCATATACCCCTACAAACACTAGGAGACAATGCCATACACTAAGATATCCTTTGATGATAATAACACTCCTAAGAAGTTACATTTCTTCTCTGAGCATTCATAATAAAAATACAAAAATAACCACCTATTTCACCTAAAGTACAAATATAATTCAAACATAAGTTTTATCAAATTTTCTAATATTATTCAGATTTTAAATTGCTACTTAATATAAACAATTCTTTACAATGTCAAACTAATGCTACTTCTTTCCTTATCTCTATTAAGAACATTCAGATTAATCCAAATAATCAAAACAGGTTAAATATAAAATGGAAACATCATAAAAACTACCTTGCATAAAGTTTAATTTACAAAACTAAGAGTTTGAGAAAAATATCTGTAACTAACCAACAAATAAAAAAAGACAATTATCAATTGCAGAGAAAACAAGGTGTGCAGAAAAGGGAATGTAATCACAGTACACTACATGACTCAGCTAATAATTTAGTCATAATACATAAACACTAATATTGATTTAACTTTAACCATAAAGTAACTATAACTCAAAGGAAGTATATAGTAGAGTTAGGTGTGAACCAAGAACTAATCTTGCCTAGTAGGAATTCAACAAATAATTAGTGAAATTAAAAATCAAGAAGTAGCATTTATTATTTAAAACATGGAACTCATTGCTTTGAGGAGGAAGGAGAATTCAGGAAAATGCTCTTTTATGTAAGAAGCCTTCAGATCAGATGAGCTCTTCAACTAGATACCCTTATAAACCTACAAAAATAAAGGTTAATTTTAAAATAATACTATCAGATGAAAAAGCGTACGAAGTTATTGTACACATATTACAAGTATGAATATTTCCACATAATTAGGTAAACTGGCAAAGTCATGGTACTTGTCATTTGTAAATTCATTTGCTTATATCTGAAGAAAACAGGTAAAAATTTTAGATAGCTTTTCAGTTTTCAAAGCAGTAATACATAGCATCTGGCCCTCGTCTCTTTCTCTGCAGGGTTTTTTCTTTTTTTCAGGCGTTGCTCCTTTTGCATCTTGCTAGCCAGTCTCATTTCAGCTGCCTAGAAAAGGTAGTACTTGTCATCCCAGACTTATAACACCCTTATGTCACAGAATCTCTTATTCCTTTTAATTTAACTCCACCAAACCTCCTCTGAGAAACATTCTCTGATATCTAGTTAGTAACTCCCACCATCACATTTCCACTGAACCTTGAAAATATTTTTCTACTTCACTAATCAGGTTTTAATTATTCATTTATATGCCTGTCTCCTTTACTATAAGATCCCTGATAACAAAATTCCTACTTTGAATAGCTAGCCACCCAGCACATTTCATCAAGCACAACAAACATTCAGTAAATAATCTTACTCAGTACTCAGAAAAACTCCCCAAAGTATTCTTATTCTGATGAGCAAACAAACGGTCGCAGAAATTAAACAAATGACCACGCCTGCTATTTAGTAAATAGTGAAGAGGGGCTCAAACTCTGATTTTCTGACTCAAAATCTTGGTCTTTCTACTATATTAAAGAACGAGTCATGTAAAACTCAGATTTTAGAGATGAGAAATTATCAAAGATCATAGCTTAAAAAATGCTGAGAGAAAATACAAAGAAAATGTACATAATGAATTTTAAAACTGAACTCAGCGTATTCAAGAAATTGCAAGGGGGTAAAAAAAGAAAAAAAGAGATGCAAAAGAAACTACAGATTCAAAAAGACTTAAAACACATAAATAATCACAATGTATGGACCTATTTTGGATCCTCATTCAAATAAAAAATTTTTTTTAATTGTCAGATGTTATCATTGAGGGAAGCTAGATGAAAGGTATAAGGAAGGGAGTTAAGTGGAAAGAGAGATGAAACAAACTGGCCAGATAACTGGCCAATAACTGTTAAGCTGATGATGGGTTCATGGGGGCTCATTATGTTCTTCTGACTACTTCTGTATATGTTGAATTTTTCCATAATAAAGTTTCCTTAAGGGAAAAAAGTGTTCAAAATGTACTACAAATTTGTGGTTCCTAGGAAGCAAATGAATTATAAAAGCAAGTTTTCTTTTACCTTATTCTACACCTTGAAAACAGACTCACTATACAAGCAGAGTTAACCTAAGGAAAAACTCAGCTTCTTTCTGATTTATAATTTTAATAACTATGTATTTTGAACTATGAAACTCATCGCCACAAACAACAGGTTCTTTTTACAAAAATATGAAAGCGACTTACACACACAAAAAAATTTCAGATGAACTAAAGAAGTGAAAGAATTGAATACTAGAAAAAAACCAAATAGTATAACAGGGTGAAGGGCTTTTAAAATTTTTTCTGCAAAAAAATTTTTGAAGGATTAATATGTAATTTAATAAAGAACTATCACAAATCATTAAGATAAACAACCAGGAGAAAAAGAAAGGGCAAGATATGAAGAAACAAGCTCTAAAAGATGACAAGCAATAAAAATATTCTTTAAAAAGATGTTCAACCTCAACAGTAACCAAAGATATCCAAATTTAAAAAATAAGATAGTCTTATTTAAAAGATTCTAGGTAGCCAGTGTTGAAAAGGATATGGGAAAAACTGTCACCCTTCACACAATGTCCACTTGGGGGAAGATGTGACCATACTCAAAAATTGTAATGTGCATACTCTTTCACACAGCAATTCTATTTCTGGTAGAATATCCTTAAGAAATACTCCCACGTGTGCTCCAAGTTGTAGAAACAAGAATTATTAGGGCATAATTACCTTAAGAAAATTTTCAGTATGTCCATCAACATGCAAGTAGTTAAATAATGGTCCATACAATGGCATACAACAAAGTTGTTTTTAAAGTACAGCTGATACACACATTGACAAAATGTACAAGTGAAAAATAAAATCAGAAAAATGAATATAGTTTTATTCCACACTACGGTGGAACACATACATACACACCCTTATTATACCTTATACACACACAAAAGGACTAGAAGGACATGCAACTGTTAAGTGGGGTTAGCTCTGGAGAGAGCCATATGGAAGTACTTAATGCTTCTGTAATAATATATGAACATGTCGTAAGTTTTTAGAATTTTCTGTTAAAAAAGTTTTCCCATATTCACTCTCTATTCCCCACCCCCGGCCCGCACCACCACATTCCCACTTTCATTCTTCCCGCTGCAGCAGCGGACCTTTAGCAACCACAAATCTGATCCTTGTTTTAAAATCTTTAATGGCCTGCACCCTGATCAAGCTCCTCCTCCGTCCCTAACCCTTCTGGCAGCCCACTCCCTTCTATTCACTCTGCTCTAGTAACCCTTCCACTCAGACTCAGAGTGATTTTTCACTGCGGGCCTTTTTTCCCACCTTAGCTGCTCCATCTTTCTGGAATGTTCCTTTTCAACTTCACCTCTCCCCCACCCTCTCCTACTTCACACAGCTACCATCAGATTTCTGGTTGAAACGTCTTTTCCTCAGAAAAGCATTCCCCGACTTCTAAGTTAGGTTCTCCTTTCAGTATCCTCAGTCTTTTCTTTATAGCACTTAAGGAAACTGTAATTAACTACCAAATTGTTTATTTTACTGGGTATTTCCCCCACTGAGACGCAAGGACAGGGACCCAGTCTGCCCTGTTCACCACTATGACCTAGCTAGCACAACAATATGCACTCAGGAAAGAACTTGTCTAAAATAGTACAATGGAATTTCTGAATGGTAGGTTTACATGTTTTTTTAAATACCAGTTTTAATCTATTATTCCTAATTTTTCAGCTATGAACTAACAAGAAGGGTTTCCTTTACAACCCTAAAAATGCAAATTTAAGTAATCCATTTATTACCTAAATTACTCAAGTTTAAAAAAAATACCTATCTAAAACTCAAAAGTGTGCATATTCTCATACATGACCGGTGGACACAATCTTTGGCAAGCAATTGCTTTTTAATAAAGCAATATGCCAACATACAGCAAACACTATAAAGATCCTAGTATCTTTTGTCTCAGTAACCCCAATACAGAAAACGTCTGTAAGACAATAATTCAGCAAAGTTAAACATACCGTTTTCTGATGAAGTTCACCTAACAAAAGGAGAAAACCCTGCAAATTAGTTTATGTACAAATAATCTACTATGTTGGGTAGGGTTCAGCAACAAGTTAGTTACGACAGCAAGGGAGTTATGGGAAAATTTTCCCTTAATTCTTGAAAAAAAGAAAGCTTTTGATATTAATTCAACACGTTACCAAACAGTTTAAAAGACTTAGGTGTTCTTGCTCTTAAAGTAGAATTCACACGACTTAGTAACCAGAAAGATAGTGACAGGTACAATTAAAGTTTACGCACCAAAGAGCCCATCATTAACCCGCCCCATGCCACGGGTGGGGGTGGGGAGGGTCCTGGAGACCTCTTCACTCCTGGGAACACACCTGCCTCTCAGTTTTCAAACAACTTAAATTTTAGTCAAATGCAAATCAGCCCCGCCAAGTGCATTCTTGACACAAATCCAAAGCGTGTTTTTTCCTTGACCTGCCACATCCACCTCGCCAGCTGGAATACCAAGCCGCCAACTCGCAGGTGAAGGGCGCCCCAGCCCTCCCACCACGCCGGAGACTCGCCCCGCTGCCCCGGAGGAAGGGTCGGGCCGGGAAGCGAGGTCGGTCCCGCACACATTAACCGGCTTCGCCCGGGGCTCTCCGGTCCCGCCGCGCGCACGGAGACGCCCGAAACTCGGCGGCCTCGCCCCATTGGCCGCCGCCGCCCCTCCCCTCTCGGCGTGTTTAATATTTTGCCGGCCAGTCGGGGAAGCACCGGGCGGTCGGGGGAGGGGGGCGTCCGGGGGCGAGGCCGCAGCACCAGTCGCGAGCGCAGGGTCCCAGTGCGGCCGAGGAGGAGTCCCCGGAGCGGTGTGGGAAGCAGGGCGTGAAGGGAGTCGGGAGCGGGCTGTGAGGCCGGGGCTGCTGGGCCTCGCGCTTACCTGGGCTGGAAAGACGGCGCGCAGGCGAAGGGGGCGCGGGGCGCGGACGCGAGAGGGAAGAGGTCCCACGCGAGGCTGTGAAGGGGGCGGCTCCTCGGAAGACACCAAGAAATGGCGGCACAAGGCGCGCGCCCACCCCGTGCTAATCCTCCGGCGGACCCCAGCTGCCCGCCGGCCCACCCCTTAAAGCCCCCTCTAAGCTCCGCCCTCGAAGGCGGAGCACTCCTCTCTTAAACGGGCAATGACACCGCCCCGGAAATTGCCTTACTCCAATTAAAGGGGCGATGCCAGGCCAGCCCTACCTGGCCCGAGTGCTAGAGGCTCAGCGACTGCGGCTGGTTTAAAGGGGCGCTGCCGAAACCCAGTCCCGGCTATCAAACCTCCGCCTTCGGGGAGAGTGTACTCTGGCAGAGGGCCCCTAAAATTAGTACTATCTTAAGGAGACTTCGCGCTGTCAGACTGAGCCTAATATCAGGTGCTGCTAGATTTCATCTATTCAGTCGTTCAAAAATTAATTCATTTAGCAAATATTTACTACCCTGCTGTTAAAAGGACTTTCATTGCGGTGGGGAGGAAGACAGTTTAAAAAAAAAAATGCCAAATGGCGATAAGTATCATGAAGAAAAATAAAGCAGGGAACAGGAAGTAGGGGATATCTATTTAATGTAGTATGGTCAGGGAGAACCTCTGTGACAAGGGAACATTTCATTCATTCTTGCCATAGATAATTTATGGAAGTGCCTGAGATGGGCTAGGTCGTCTTCTGGACACTGGAGATGCAACAAAGAAACAAGACAGACAAAAGATCCCTCCTGTGCCTTAAGTGCTAGCAGGAGAGACAGAAAATAAGTTACTAAAATTAAGTACTAATTACTAGTATTAGTAGTTAGTGTGAGCCATTAGTGTTAGGCATTGCTAAATAACAAAGAGAAAAGTAAAAACGGGGAATAGGGAGAGTGAGTGAGGAGGTATGATTTTAGATAGATTAGCTAGATCAGGAGGAAGGTCTCAGTAAGAAGTGGCTTTTGAGTGCAGATCTAAAGGAGGTAAAGGGGGGCCCTGTGGAAGAGCAGCGGGAATAGCAGAAGCCTCTCCAAGTGCGTGGCCTGCACAAGGAAAGCAATGTAGTTAAAGGCGAGGGAGCAAAGGGAAGAGTCCTGGGAGATGCCAAGTCAGAGAGGAGAGGGAGTGAGGTGAAGGGGCTCCTGAGCCCTGGTCAGGCTCTGAGGGCTGTGGGGAGCCACTGGGGGGGGGGGTTAAGTGGAGGGCCTAGGCTGGAAGGAGAAGAGACCAATACTCATAGAGCCCCTTCCTAGGGTTTGACACTGCCTGTTCCTCCCCCAGCCCAAGACTGAACAGTGGGGCTTGGCAGGGGCAGCTCGTCTCTTCTCCGTGTGGCGTTGATTGGGGCAACTCAACAGGAGCTGGAGCTGCTAAAATGGCTTCACTCATCTGTGTGACATCTCAGCGAGGGTGGCTCAAAAGACCACCTGAGTTCTGCTTGGGCCTCTCTAGTAAGTTAGTTGAAGTGGCTCAGGCCTCTCAAAAAGTGAAAACTGAAGTTTCAAGGCCTATTAAGGGCAATGCCCAGAAGTCACACGGTGTCACTTCTGTAGCCTGTTATTGGTCAAAGTGAGTCACAAGGCCAGACCAGTTTCAAAAGGAATGGGAACAGGATTCCACCTCTTTTTTTTTTTTTTCTTTAAGAGTATTAGAGAAATTTTCTTTCTCTACTGTTTAAAAATAGCTTTATTGAGATGTAATTCAGCTATGATACATCCCCCCATTTAAAATGTACACTTTAATGGCATTTAGCATATTTAAAAAGTTGTACAGCCATCACAAAAATCTAATTATAGAACATTTACATCAGTTCTTCATGGGAGAGCAGCTTGGATGCACAGGGGTGGGAGAGATTGTTGGTGGTCATCTTTGAACTTTAGCTCAATAAAAAAGCAGTGATTATGATGATGGCATGGGAGGGAGGGAAGTGGTGGACCTATAAATGAAACAAGAAAGGGCCATGGGTTGAAGTAGGTAATAGGTACATTAAACTGTTACCGGGAAAAGGAAAATAAGAATTACCTCGGTTCTTAGTCACCCGAAAAAAAAGAAATTTTGATGACAGATAGAAAGCATGATATAAGCAAGATTTTTATTAGTGAAAAAAAAAATAGTAGAACATAGTACACTCCCGAGAATTGGGAGCGGGCCATTCCAAGAGAGGAAAAAATGGCGCCGCTCCTTTTTTTTTCCTGTTTTTATATCCTGGTTTCATGATTGATTGCTTGCTTGCTTGCTTGCTTGCTTGCTTGCTTGCTTGCTTGATTGACAACTCAGGTTCCCTGTACTCTGGCACACCCATCCCCTTTGGGGCAGGTTCATTGGGTCAAGTTATACCAGGTCCCCCTCCCATTCGCAGCTGCAGCGCTTTAACTGGCTTCTTTTACTGGCCCTCATTTAGAGAAAGTAAAGATTTCTGGAGTCCTTTTTCCTGACTGCAGACTCACTTCCATTTTCTGGGTTGTTCCTTTCCCCTTCCTCTTCCCCTGCCCAGTGCTCATTTCTATCTAAACTAAACAAAACTATTCTGTTTTATGTAAGAGTTTACATTTTTTTCCCTACTAAAATGTTAAAAAACAAAACAAAAAAAAAACAACTATCTGAGCTAACTACCCTTTGGAAAGCCTTCATGTTTCCCCAGGGGTTTGATTACCCTGATTTGAAAACTGTACGGTCTTGAGCACCATCCCCTCAGTCGACCAAGTGTTGTTTCCCTCCAAGTATTATCCAGGGTTTTCACAGTGAAAGCTGTATTGTAATTTTTCTGTTTCCTGATCTACAGTGGAAGCATCTTCTGTCAGTACTTATAAACCTACTTCATTGTCTTCATTGC